ACTGCCACGACTCGTTATGTCTCTAAAGAGTCGTGACAGGTCTAATGAACCATTACCGGAAGAATCCACGCTAATTGTGGGTGCATGACTCTGGGGAAGTGCATGCACCATTACCGCAGAAGATTTGACAGACGATCGATTCTTGTTTTGCATTTTTATTGCTGTTTCTCATTCCCAGTTTTTCATAAAGTACACATTTATAATAGTTTAATCTTTCAATTCTTAAATATGGGAAGTATTCTACAATTTCTGTATAAAATCCAATTCAATTTCACAAATGTTGGGTAGTATGTAGCCTTGTCAAGGATGAACCTGTTTTATGCCTTCCTTTTCATATCAAACCCTGTGTCAGGGGCCGTCTCTGGTATAAGGGGCCCCACGTCCTCGGCTCCATGTTCTTGACCCCTGTACAGCACAGTGCAGCTGGCTGTTGCTCTCTCACTGCTCAGGAGAACCTGACGCCTCATTTGCGCAGTGACATCTAGAGACGTGTGTTTTTCAGATTTCCAGATCTCTACCAAAATGCATTTTATTACTCTGCATTTAGGAGAGCCTTAGATAGTAGTTATGAAACATTTAGAAATATGCATAAAATATGCCTTTATTGACCGAAAATGGATAATACCAGTATGTCCAAATTAGAATAGTGTGGTAAAAAGTCAGTCAAGTCAACATTTTCACTGTAATTTACTTTCTAGATGCACTTGTCAGAACTAAATATGTATCTTTACTCACCGTCTGGTATAAAACTAAAATTGTTTTGTGTTGAAGGTATCAGAGATGAGATAAGAGTAAGTTACTGATCTGTAACTTCTAATTTAGTTTACAGGTACACACAAAACATGATGTTTTATCAGCAGCATTTCTGTGTTATATAAAATAAGAAAAATAAGTTTTTAAACGTGATACTTCAGCTTGAAAAATTAGAATTTGTTGAATGGGCCGAAGGGTTTCCTGAAGAATCACAGGCGAGCACTGTGTTTAGGGTCAGGGTCAGGGGGATGCAGTTCAGACATGTATAAATCCAAAACTGGCATTCTTTGTTTGTGTTTATTATTTATTTTTGAATCTTTCCAAGAACGCATCAATACTTTCATCATGTGTTCTGTGTATGGCCCCAGAGAAATTACGCATTTTATATAAATGCAGGATCTGTCATGGTCAAGGTCAAATTGTTTATACAGAACATTCTATAAAACAGGCATGACTCAATTATTAAATTCAATATTAAAAACATAAATATAAAAAATAAAAAAAAGGCAGCCCACAGACTGCTTTGGTTAGTCTGGTTATCTCTCCTTATGATGTAGTATGCCTCCTTTGGTTCTTCTTTCTTTAATATATTTGATTTTTTTTTTGCCTTTAAAGTTGGTGACAGGCAGGCTAGGTCAGGAGGACTGCGGTACCAGCCCATCCAGCCGCTGTGAGTGATCTGCTCATTCTCAGTGTGGCTCCTGAGGGTCAGCAGGTCTCTGCGCTGAAGTCGACATTAGGCCTGAGCGTCACTCCTGTTCTTTTTTTCATCCTCCTCTTCGGGACGGCAGCTCCTACACACAGGGGAGGCAGCAGCAGCAAAGTTCTGTGTCGCATTGTTCTGCATTTATTTCCCCTTCAGTCAAATCCTTACTATCAACATCATCATCATTTTTATTTGTTTATCTATCTATTTCATATTAAAAAATGCACAAAATCAAGATATGAAACACTATAACACTTATGGCCAAGGCTAATATGCAATGTCCTTTCCATGCTCATACGACTTATTTATTTATAAAAATTCCTTCATTTTGGTTTAAAACCAGCCCAGTCCGAGTTCAGTTTAAGTTTAAATGTCAGAGCTTTTCCCCCTGGACAGAGGAGGCGAGGCATCATTCTTATTAATTTTACCGTTTATGGTCAAGATAAATAACATTGCATCAATCTTGTTGTGGACGAGCTACACTTGGCCTCATCAACATTGGAACTAAACAAAGCTAAAGAACAGAAGTATAATAAAATCCTGCACTGAACAAAAAATGAAACTAAGTTCATTTGAGGCTGCGTCAGTGTGTCCCCAAGATTCTTACCGTAATGAAGTTGTGAATTGTGCAATAACAACTAAACTGTACACAAATCATAATTATCAATAAATTCCTATTCCCGCACAATGAAATTATGAAAGAAAACAACGGTAAAGTAAAACAGGTCAACATCGGAGTCCAGCGCTTGTTTAACTGTGGCCTGATTTAATCCTGGACATGACTTTTTATGAAGAGTTTTACAGTTTCACATTTGCCTTTAACAAATACAGAGGATTAGTCTATGGTAATGAATTTGTATCGTTTGCATCTGCTTTTCTCTGCTTGACCAACCCTCTGAAACTCGTTCTGCATTATCTCATAGTTAGAAAGTCTTCTCATTTTAACTTTTTTGTAACAATTATGAATTTTCGAAATATTGGAAACACACAGGTCTAGGACAGCTCCATAGATACATCTTAACCCACTGATAGTGAGTCAGAGGACTTAACAAAACCATTGAAATCTCCAACACAGATCAGAGAATCAACAGTTAAAACACAAAAAATACAATGTCCATGAATGTTGATAAATGTCAATACAAGAAAAGTCAGACAAAAGACGAGGAGAGAGCACCATGCCAGACGTGAGAAAGAGCCACCAAAAGCAGGAGAAGAACCAGAAGAAGAACCAGGAGAAGGCCGGTGGTGAAGCTATAAGACTCCCCTTTATGGAAGAGAAGGAAAAAGAGCAAAAGTTTTACAAAACAAGTAAAAATGAAGAATATAAGTCTTGGTCTAGGGGCGGAAAAGTGATGGGGGCTGGTGTAAGATAAGACAAGGAAAGTTTATTAGTATAGCACAATTCATACACAAGGCAACTCAAAGTGCTGAACAAATCATAAATAATCACAGTACGTTAAAAAGAAAGAATACAAAATCCCTCAGTTGCATGCTATGCACAGGTAGGGTCAGAGAGTGATTTGGGCCAGTATCTTGTTTCGGAAAATGTTTTGGGTTGTACGAGTGAGAGGAAAAGTACTACTATTACTAGATAAGATAAGATAGACTTTATTGATCTCACACAGGAGAAATCTACATGTCACATCTGGCATGGATAGAATCACTCAAGATTTGTGCAAAAGAAAGAAGTGTGTAAACATGTTAAAGGCAAAAAATACTGTTTTTCAGGATCTGTAATGTACAATAAAAAGTGGCAATCAAAGAAACAGTGGAAAAAGTAGTGCAGGTTTTTTAGTCCTAGTGCAAGTGACTTATTGTACAGTCTGACAGTGGTGGGGATAAAGGCCCTGCAGGAGCGCTCCTCCTTGCGCTGGAAACGGTAGAAAGTCCTATGGAGCTCCTTTTTCAGGTATTAAAAAAGCAATAGAAATACAAATTGTAAAGCACAAAACAACAACTGTTTTACACTGGTCTAGACAGGAGCAGAGAGGACTCATGGTCCGAAACAAGCGGATCAGCTGAAAATCCACTGGAGGAATGCTAACGGTTTGAAAAATGCTAATGAAGCATTCAGCATTTTACTTTGGACCAGAGCAGAGAAAATGGTCCGAACCAAGCGGTTACTCCACCTTTTGACCTCTGCTGCTGTGACCCGTGGATCTATAACGATATCAAGGGCTGTTGCTTATTATTACTATTGTTAGCTTTTTAGAATGATCCATTTTGTATTTATTTTTTGCTGCTTTTTGAACCCAGAATTTGTCCTACAGGGATCAATAAAGTATCTCTGCCTTAAAGGGACAGTATGTGGTGTACACTCTGTGGTCTAATCTTAAGTACGATTCTACTATTGTTGCCAGAATCTAATCTAATCTAATAAGCGCTGAATACAGACAAACATGTGTTGTGGGTATGGTGACATGTTATTAGTGACATGTTAGTACCATACGAACTAGCCCGGACTCTGAGGAGCACAGGTACTGGACTCTCAAGAGTGCCCAGAGTCAGAACTAAACATGGGGAGGCTGCTTTTCAGATTCATGCTGCTAAAATCTGGAACAGTCTTCCTGAAGATGTGAGACAGGCCTCCTCTCTGACAATGTTTAAAACCAGGTTAAAGACAGTTCTGTTTAACTGTGCATACAACTGAGGGATTTTATATTTTTATCTTTCTTTTTAATGTTCTGTGATTATTTATGATTTTCATGCTTTCCTATTTTGTTCAGCACTTTGAGTTGCCTTGTGTATGAATTGTGCTATATAAATAAACTTGCCTTGCCTATGGCCATAAGTTTATTCCATACTGTGTGCTACAGACCAGGTTCTTGTTTACAATGTGAAATATTTATTTGCCAAATAAAGATTTCCAGGAAAACAAGCAGGTTTGTGGAGATGACAGCTCACTCTCAGGATGTCTGTTTATGAATGCTGCTAATGCTTATGATGCTTATCTAAAGCTTGTTTTTCTGGTTTTGCATTTGATTTGCGTTACCTGAAGGGCATCCCTGTCCTTGCTCAGTCATTTGAATTCTGTAAAGTACCAAAAAAAATCAGCTCGATGATATGGAAATTTCCTGAAGGGTCCGTGATTTTTATTATCAGCTGACACCAGCGAGAAGAAATTGACTTCAAATATATTGACAATAACACATTCTACATGCCAGATTCAAAATGATTTATTCTGATTAGTCCGTCTGTGAACTAACCTTTTCCAACAATGGTAAATACATCAACATCAGCACTCACCAGTAAAATAAATATCTATTTCAAGTTCGATCTATTCACAAAAAGATGTCATAATATGGGGTTATGTTGCCTCATTCAATTCAGTCTCTGGATAAAGTATGTGTCTGATTTGAATATTCACATTCTCTTTTAATAATCGGATCATTTCATTATGCAACATTGTTTTTTTGCTGTATTGATTCTGAGATGGGTCAACAGTTTTCAGTTGTAGCTCCTCCTAGTCTTGAAGTGCATTGCTTTTGTGAACAGTAGACATGAATAGTTCTCTGATAAAAAGTCTCTCGTCCCTCATGTATTAGGAGTTTGCCCCAGTGCGAGGGCCTCGCATGATATGGATCCGCGCTTCATCGTCGATTTCATCCATGATCTTCTCCTGTTTGACGGAATAAATGGTGTAGCTGACTGGATAGGATTAAAGAAGATCACAAAACTAAGACATTGAAATTGAGTTGAAATTCATTATAAAACTGTGCTGCCAATCATGTTTAGGAGTTATAATGGAGACAAATATTACTTGGAAACCTCACACAAGTTACCTCAGGATAAAAATTGCTAAAAGAGTTGGAATCATGACAAGATCAAATAATTTACTTAACACCAGTGCTCTTCTCTTATTGTATGGGCCATTCATAACGTCTTATTTAAATTATTGTGTTGAAGTGAACTATAACAAATCTGACCTCCCCAACATAACAGATTAGGGGAAACATGGAAATGTATGTGTCTAAATTTTGATGAAGTATATGGAGGAAACAGTGACGTATGGTTTGGTTTTTTTTAGTTCTTGTGACGTATGGGTGAGGGAAATGGAATGAAATGAGCATCTGGATTCAACCAATCCCCTTTAAAACTGTGTATCGTGTGTATACCATATTTATGTGAAAATGTATGCACGGTTTCGATCAATTTAAACAAATAATACTAAATACTCTTTTTCATAACAGCTGTTGACCACAACTAAATTAAAACATTGTATTAATGTTAAACCAGTACAAGATCAAATGGAAAACCACAATGCCACTAACTTATACAAAATTACTGAATGAATGCTACTCCCAGCCTTCACCAATGTATTAAAACTAGCCTACTGGGATGACAAAAAAATGATGAATAAAACACATACATTCTACTTATTATAACTATGGAGTAATAGTACACCTGTGTCTGATATTTTGGGCAAATGTTTACAGTCTATGCGGCTTATATCAGCGCCGGAACATTGAAGGATACACATGGAAAGGACAAACGCTCCGATCGTGAGACCCGTCAGAAGGTTTCGGCCCCGCATCTGTCGTGCATTTTTCTGCCAGTAATCCAGCTCCTTTCGACGGGTTAAAAGTTGTTTCTGTGCCGCTGTCAGGGTCATTTTAGCGGACTCTTGTGCTCCCTGCTCCGCCATGTTTAGTTTAGGTAACTCTCTCAAACAGCAGGGATATGTTTTGTTGGAAATACTGCCCTCTTCTGGTAAGGACTGGAAGTTGAATCGAGCGTCTTTTGGTAATTTCCTGATCCAGTTTGTAACTTGCTGAATTTTATATTATCAAAATTAAACTTTTTCACCAGAATATCTACCAACGCAGGATAAGCATTGTAAGGCAAAACTGTGTCGGGGGAAAAAGTGTTATTTCTTATATATTTATTTATCGCATATGTTTATTTTTCATTGTAGTTTTAGCAGTCCAAATCACTAAAATAACAATAATATCAGATAATAAATTGAACATAGACGGTTTTAATAATGTTGACAATCACTTCCGGGGTGCGAGGTTAAAAGCTGGCATGTTTTGATTTTGCCGCTGCTGACAGGACACAGGCAGACCGATGTGTGGCGATGGATGCCATGTTCAGACACCGATCACTCTATAAAGCCACTACACCACCATGGAAAGACACGTTCCGAAAGGTCAGGTCACATTGGCATCGTTAAGCTTTTATTATGTCATATGAGCAGGTTTCAAGCTAGCTTACGGAGCTAGCTAATTCCCTTGTTACCTGTAGCTAGGGCTGTCACAACAGTATTTTGTCATGCATGGGTTCTTCTACTGAAATCTTTCTGATACTGAAAGTGTTCACATGTTGTCTTTTCTCGCGTCAGTAACGTTGTACAATTAGTCATGAAATACATTGTATGGGGGGAGTCAACAGGGTTTAATCAACCAGACAATGGCAAACTATAACTATGATTTTATAGGCAAGCCAAAATGAATACTACTTGAATTGGCTAATGTGTGTTTGCATGTTCTCCCTGTGTCCCATTCACGGCATCTGCTGGTCAGGAATACCCACTGTCCCAACCAAATAAACAAATACAATCCTGGCAATCAATTATGCTGAAAGGGGCTTCAAATGTTAACTTTTGGTTATTCGCGTCTGATCTTTTTCAAATCTGATCTTTACTCCATAAAAAATCATAAACTGCAATGAAAAACTTTACACATGATTTCCTTTTTCGTGCCATGACAGCGATGTGTGGACCGACTGAAGAACAGCAGGTCCAAACTGCTGGAGCGGTACCGACAGATGGAGAGTCCGCAGCGTAAGGCCTCTGGAGGATCCATAATCGTGCAGGAGGTGATGGAGGAGGAGTGGAGCGCTTTGCAGGCAGAAAACCAACACCGCCTACCATCTCTGTGGGGGTCCAGTGGCATGGCTGAGGTCTGTCTGTGTCAGCTGAATAAAAAAACTGTAGCCTACACAACAGAATACATTTTACTTTGTGATTTTAACGCTTAAACTTACACTTTTGACGCTTTTATTTCAAGATGTTTGGTGTCACAAGGGAATATGATGAACTAGCAGTACTTGAAGAAATCCAGCAGGAGCTTCTGTCTCATGGTAATAAAACATACATTACATTGGCCTCATGTCGATTGATTCAACAAATAAGACTTTATTTTGATGTTTACAGAAAAGGCCATAATTGAGGAATTTGAGAAAAATCAACTTTTTGAACAACAATATATATCCTCAATGGTGGCGGGAATGGTTGAGGACATCCATCAAATAATTTGTCCTATTTGTCATGTGTAAGTTTTTTAAAGTTTTTCTATTTCTTGCTTCGTTAAGTAACCCCTTGATCTTTTTTACACAGGAATAATTTGACTATAAATCATGTGTTTATATCCTGTCCATGTGGTCTTTATATCAATACAAAGGTATACAAATATTTATTCCATGTCAAAGTTTTTCTTTATCAATTTTGGTGTTTAACTTCTAACCTTTTTTTATTGTAGAGTCGTAATATCAATTCAGAAGTTCTAAACCACCTGCTGGAATCCAGAGTTTCTGAGCATTTGGAGGAATGCTTTCACAACCCCATCTTTTCTTTAGCCCCAAACGCAGACGGCCCCTCAAACCTGATGATAAGCTGTCAGGTACGTGGCTCCACATGATCAACCCAGTGGTTTGCATCACTTGATTGGACTACCCTAATTATGGTTTTTTCCTTCTTTCAGGCTTGCGACTATTTGTCTGTTGTCCTGTGAGAGTCCTGTATTTGAATTGCACATTTTTTTATTCTGCATCGTTTTAAAAGTACAAAATAAAGATCCTATTTATTTTTTATCCTGTTCAAGAGGAGTTTCATTGAAGTGACTGGATGTATGGTTTGTTTACATTGATACTTTAATCATTGTCATCCTTTTCATTGCATTTTTTTACCATGAGATTGAACAATACACAATTACACGTAATACTAGACAGACACAACATTTTTAGATTTAGTATATAATTGCATGTTTTTTCCTTTTTCTCAAGTAATAAATTACTATAGTGTGTACTCGGCTGCCACAGGGGCACACTGAGAGAAGCGAGGCTACCACTGTGTGCCATTGGCCCCTTCAATCACCACCCTTCATTCATACACACTGGACTCATTCTAAACAATGTGGGTGATTGTGTTTTGCCGAGGATACATCCAGGTGACACCAAGGAACTATTGCAGGGAACTTTTTGTCTCCAGAAATAATTACCATCTTGAGTTGGCAGTACAGTAATTATCTTGAGTGGTATGAGAATAACCTGCGGGACATCCTTGCAGCGTCGGTGTCTCCAAGAAGAGCTGCTCTTGAGGTCGGTGATCTCGGCCTCATCACCATGAATTCTGACCTGAAGTGGACAAAGTCATGTGATGTTTATTTTTTGAGGGAAAGTTATAGAATGTTTTATATTCATGAAAAATATGTCTGAGGCCACCATTCACTCACCAATGTCGATGAGGGTCTTTCCCAACTGTTCAATAGCTCATTGTAGATTTAATTTATGCTTTGTAGTACCGTTTTACCAACAAAACGTTAATTATATGCAGCATAATTGACTCCTTTACTTTTATCAATCTAATACATCAACATGTGTGTTCAAAGGACATCACCATGGAGCTGGAGTATGGGTCTATATTGTGGATGGGGTTTTGTAGCTCAAGCCAGTGTGTGATCAGGGGCAGAAATTCTCATGTTCTACACAGAAATATTTCAACAAAGTGCTGTACCTTTTTTTACCCTTCATAGTTGTGCCATAGTTTCAACTGATCAGTCATTATCTAAAACAGGAAATGACAAAGTATGTAAAGGCCAACTAATGTGTAAGATGTCTTGTAAAACATTATAAACAAATAAGACCACTATACCACGCTGTTTAATTGGCAAAGATATAAAGATTTGATACAGAGGCCAAAAACTAATGCACGTGAAAACTAAAGATTGGAACCAAACTGTTTTGAGAGTGACAGTTTAGAGTTATGTGTGTGTGTTTTCAAAGTAACTGTAGGTTCACCAGCTTTAAGACTCAGAACCATTCCCCTGACACTGCCTGGACCAGGCCTGGACCAGGCCTGGACTGAAGCGGGTGACTTGGCTACATGTCTCCTGCAGGGGGCAGCCCTGAGCTCTTTCTGCTGGAGCGGAGCGCCGGCGGCAGAGGGCGACGCGCAGGGAAGATGGCAGCCGCCGCTGTGGCAGAGTTTCAGAGAGCGCAGTCTCTTATTGGAACTGACCGGAATGCTTCTATCGATATCCTCCACTCCATAGGTATGAGCCGCGGAGCAGAGTCTGACCACAGCCTCTGCAGAGGGCCAGGCTCCTGGCGCTGTTAGGAGCCAGTCTCTCTGCAGTGAGTCAGCAGCAGACTTCTAGCTGCTAACAACATGGACTAAATGTTACATTTATATTAATGAACCATAGAATTAGACTAAACCTGGATTCTAAGTCCTGACAACACTCATCGCCTGAAACTTAGTGATGACTGCGAGCTGCTGTGTCTGCACAAGTGGTGATGTTGACTCTAAATAACTCTAATGTACCACTGAATAAACTGTGTTGCACGTCTTTTCTGTGTTTCTGCTTGTGTTTAGTGAAGCGGGACATCCAGGACTGTGATGAGGACGCAGTGCGGGTTAAAGAGCAGAGCATCCTGGAGCTGGGAGGACTGTTGGCCAACACGGGGCAGGCTGCAGGTCTTTACACATACATGTAACATGTAACATGTCATCTCTTTGGAAAGGCTTTCATGCAACGGTGGTTTAACTCTAGATCTCCCAGAGCAGTCAATTTGACGGGTTTGGGTTTTGAAAGTGTTATATATAATCTTTATTCCGGACTCAAGGACCATACAAAAGACAACACAACGACGCCACAAGACACAGCAAAAGATATAGTCTATATACAGAACATTTTAGTCTGTACTCCCAACTTTGGGTTAGGGTTAGGACTTATTCTGTATCTATCAGTTTATTTCTGTTTACTATAACTATGAAATTATTTCATTTTTTAAATATGAAATATCCATGGTACTAGTCCTAGACTGGTCCGAGTCAGCTTGATTTCCCACCCGAGAAGATCTCTAGTTACTATAGCGACACACATACTTGCAGCAGTTAGCATTTGGTCTTTAGCATTAGCCTTTCAACAAACTGTCTTCATTTTATTTAAAGTTACGTACACAAGTTTAGCACATAGTAAAAGTGAATAAAGGTTAAACAATTTTTTGGGGGGAGAATTCCATTTTTTTGTTTGGGAGCAGTCAAAATGACAGCTCTGAGAGGTCTTGTATTTTCAGAATTCTGAGAGTCCTGGTGTTACAACAGGTTCAGGTTCACTCTGTGTTATAAATGGGCATCTGGAAATGACTGAAGCAGCTCATGTTAATGTCCTTCATGTGCCTTAATTTGTCTTTTTCCAGAACTTGGTGGTCTGCTCAAATATGTGCGGCCATTTCTTACCTCCATCTCAAAGGCCAAGGCGGCGCGGCTGGTGCGCTCCCTTCTTGACCTGTTCCTGGACATGGAGGCTGCCACGGGACAGGAGGTGGACCTGTGCCTGGAGTGCATAGAGTGGGCCAAGGCTGAAAAGAGAACTTTCCTCCGACAATCTCTGGAGGTATGAGGTGGTTCTGTCAGGGTCAGTCCTCTTTAATCTACACTTTGGGGTTTCCGTTGTGCATTACAAATTATTATTATTATTACGTTCCATAAAACAGTGTTACCGATCTCTAACAAGCACATTGTTGACACCCTTTAATGCTGGTTCTGAGGTTTTAGGTCGAGAGATAAATCAATGGACTTGACCTCAAGTCCATTGTTATTAAGACTAAGAATATATTTAAGCAGTTTTCATATAGTGTGTTTCTCGATTTCTCCCATTGTTTGGAAAATCTAACCCTAACCTATTTTTTATCTCTTTTTGCAGTGTTTATACTTGTTCCCTTTGTTCCCACAGGCGCGTCTCATCTCTCTATATTATGACACAAAGTGCTACCAGGAAGCGTTACTATTGGGTAGGTGACTATGATCATTATAACTCTATTAAACCCACCATCACTAAACTTCCTGGGGCCTCTGCGCAGGCACCCAGCTGCTGCAGGAGCTGAAGAAGATGGATGACAAGGCTCTGCTGGTGGAGGTGCAGCTTCTGGAGAGTAAGACTTACCACGCGCTGAGTAACCTGCCCAAAGCCCGCGCTGCCCTCACCTCGGCCCGGACCACCGCCAACGCCATCTACTGCGCCCCCAAACTCCAAGCAGCTCTGGACATGCAGTCAGGTACCGGCCTAGTCCCACTGAGTCCTTAACCAGACTGACCAGGCTGTGGTTGCAGCTCTTAGTTTCATTCACCAAAAATGAAATTGAAAAAACTAAAAGTGGAGAGCTCAAAAGTGGTATTGATAATAAAAGCCAATCGATTAATTGATTTGCCGAATTAAATCATTTTATTTTTTAAGTCTTAGGAGATTTTTTCCCCCATTAACACTTTTTTAAACTCAATTTTATTTTACCAATGTAGACTTTATTTTAAAGCTCTGAATCCACAAAATTCTTTCTGGCTGCACTGGTCATGCTATTCCAAAACGTCCAATGATAAATCTTTGTAAAATTCCCAATGTCATCAAGCCAACTTCAGCTACTCCAATAGGTTAGAATTCAGTCGCTATGGTAGTTTCAATACTTTAGTGAACCCGAATAAGAAAAATTCAAACGGGTTTTTTTTTAATAGAATCTGCTCGAAAATCCCCAAATTAGGCTCTTTTTATCTCTAGTAATGTTTTAACTTGTATGTTCATAAAGCATTCTGATGTTGGTCTTCCAGGTGTGATTCACGCGGCTGAAGAGAAGGACTGGAAAACTGCATACTCTTATTTCTATGAAGCCTTCGAGGGCTACGACTCCATCGACCACCCTCGCGCCGTCACCGCCCTCAAGTACATGCTGCTCTGCAAAATCGTACTCAATGCGTAAGATGGAATCACACACATATCACTGCACCAACGATATCTGCTTTAGAGTTAGTGCTCGGCCAATGTCACAATGTACAATAGAACAACATGCGTTGCTGTCACTTTGTCCCATACCCTCAGGCTGCTAACACGTACAGATGTATACATACTACTTTATTATTCTTTCACTAGAAAATGTTTTATATTTGCTGCTTAAGGTGGAGATTTTAGATGTTCTTCCTTATTTAATATTTGCCTCTTTTTTATGCTAAAATTAGATTTATATATAGAGTTAAAGTTCATTTCTCTTGTGTTGTGTGCTCCTCATTCCTACTGTTGTGTAACCGGTGATGCAACACTGAAATTTCCCCACTGTGAGACGAATAAAGGATCGCTTTATCTTAATCAAAACTAAATGTTCAACACGACAAGTTGATAATCTTCTTGGGGCCGTCTTCCTATCACCAAAAGGCAGGACGACAGCGCCATCTGCAGTCTGACTTCTCCAGGGCAGAATCCAGTGAGAATAAAGTCTTGCGGGCACTTTCCTGGGATTCTGTCCTGAAGTGGTCGGACTCCAGATGGCGCTGTCCTCTGATAGTGGGAAGAATGTAAAACAGCTGATAGGACACTTGAACATCACATGACCGCTCTGAGAAAGACTATAACTGTCAGGTTTCCAAAAACTACTTGTTGAATCTATCAGAAGACAAATGAACCTCGCTGGACTAAATGTTCTATATCCATCATTGACGAGAAACCGTCTTGTATTGTGTGGTCTCGTTGTGCTCGAACATGCTCTTGACTATAAATGAACGGAGATTATTTCTGTGTGTTCTGTGTTTTTCAGACCTGAGGAGGTACAGACTCTCATCGGGGGAAAGCTGGCTCTGCGCTACAGTGGTAGACAGGTATCGCTTTTTACTGCTAAATACTGCTATTTTTCACATGTTTTAAACTAATCAAAATCTCAACAATAACTACTTAAACTGTAGAATGTTTGGTTCAAGGTCGCCAAAGCAGAAACTGTCAGAGAGGACCTTTGTCAGCTTTTAACTAAACTGTGTTAAACAGGGAGACCTAATGGCAAACCTATTGTGAGAAAGAGCCCTGGAAGTCACTATTAGATGCTTAGGGCAGAGAGCTCATTGGCTGAGTGAGGGTGGTCCTCCCATCTCCAATTTTCAGTCTGAAAAGATGTGACAGAGGCCAAAAACACATGCATGTGAAAAGTAGTGATGGACCCAAACTGTTTTGAGAGCAGAAAACGAGTTAGATGGATAATAGATGATTCTGTTTTTGACTTGGAAAGTTAGGTATGTAGCTGTTTTATTCACAAAAACTATCCCTCGGCCTCTCTGTCCTCCTTCATATACCTCCCATATTTATTTTTGCAGTACATGGATACAATGAAACCTGCCCCACTCTCCTCTAAACCTGGCTTTGCATTTGCCAGCTAACTATTCACATTTATAACACAACAAGGCTGGATAAGCGATGCTAATTATAATGATTGTTTTTGCTCATTTCTCCTCAGACAGACTCTCTGAAATATGTAGCACTGGCCAGCAAAAACCGCTCCTTGGCAGACTTCGAAAAGGTACGTTCACCGCGTAACAATATCAATATCTAGATTTGTATTGGATCCATAGTCCGTGCTTTAGGAATTAGTGAACTGACAGAGAACTGGCTTCATCGTGTGTGCCGGATGGTAGTTTCAATACTTATTTTTTTCTTTAGACCCCAAAGGGTGAGTGTGACACAGTCAGTCACTGAGCTAGAAGTTTACTTTACTCTAAGTTCAATAGGAGCCAGAGCGAGTTAGATAAATAATTCATCCATGAGCACTTCTCTATGGGGATTCATTGAGCTAGCGGGGGTTAGCATCGTCCAGCTACACACAGTCTATGATTGGATCTAGAAGATGGTTTTTTTGTCTCGTTCACAGACATTAACAGGGTACAAAGCCGAGCTGAGAGACGACCCCATCATCAGCACACACCTGACCAAACTCTACGATAACTTACTGGAGCAAAACCTGATCCGGGTCATCGAGCCTTTCTCCAGAGTCCAGGTGCGTCACATGATGCTTTTAGTGGTTTGCTTTGGTTCTTACTCTGGACCTTAGACTGTCATCAAAAGTTCATTTATTTCTCCATGTTATGTGACCCTCTGCCGTGCTATCCAAACACAAATTCACGGTGTCATTCAGCCAACTTCAGCCCACATACACCGGTTATACAACAATGTGAAGCTCTGGAATCCAGTCCTCAATTTTGTTCAACTGCACTGACATTTGTTTTTGATTGTTTAACGCTATGTAGCTGAGTGAGTATCGTAATTTCAAGTCTATAAGCCGCTACTTTTTTCTAGTTATTCGAACCCCCGCGGCTTATCCAGTGACGCGGCTAATATGTGTATTTTTATTGTGAAGCTGTTCGAGCCGAGTTTATGGATTTCATATTTTGACACCCATCAGCTTTTAGTAGCTATAAGACACACGTTTATGGGCAAAAATTCCTGTGAATGAAGTGTAAAAAAAAGTTGTCTGCTACTGTACATTACAACAAATCTGCTACATTACGACATGACAACCTGCGGCTTATATTCCAAGTGCGGCCTATATGTGTGCGCCTTACTAGTTCCTGGCTCGATAAAAGTCCTGAAAGTACGGGAAGCATTTGTCATTCAGCCAACTTCAGCTCCGTCAAATGTGAACCAATATAGACATGTCAGACCTAATTTTAAAGCTCAGAACTGCCTCAATCCAGTGAATCCGTATTGTCGGCACTTGGACACTTAACATGTGAAACCAATGGACAAAGACAATTTTTACGTTTTATGACAAGTTTTACGTTATTTATGATAATGTTGGTGATTATTGCTACAAATTGCTTTCAAATCACTGTGTTTTAAAAAGATATGAGCCAATTATCAACATTATAACTAATAAAAGGCTTGCTATATCTCGGTCTCAGTCTGTCAAACATTAATTTCACATTGTAAGTTGTATTGTGTTCTTGTAAGTTGTATTGTGTTCTTTTAAGTATATATTTTTTGTTGATTTCATGTTTTTATAATCTATTTGACATACATTGTTTTATTGTATTAAACGTGAAATAAAGTCAGATTGGAGATTTTATTCTTATTGACTTCTGTTTTTGCGTGTTTTTTTGTTTTACTGCCTGAATTACGTTTGCTATAAAATTAAAGCAGATTTGAATCACAGAAGTAAATAAACTTTTTTGAATGACATTTTGTTGTTCTTTCTTCCAGATATCGCACGTTTCTGACATCATCAAGCTTTCTGAGGTGCCCGCAGTGCAATGATGCAGAGAAACAAAACGTTTCTACCACTGTTGAATTCTCTTGTTTTTCTTTTTAGGGTGAAGTGGAAAAAAAATTATCACAAATGATTTTAGACCAAAAATTCCACGGTAATTTGTGATGCCCATTGGAACTATGTGGGTCAAAGCTGCGAGTCTTAGTAGTTTGGTCTTCTCTTCAGGGATTCTGGACCAGGGCGAAGGCGTGCTGATCGTATTTGAAGAACCAGTGGTGGACCGGACGTACGAGGCCGCTCTGGAGACGGTTCAGAACATGAGTAAAGTGGTGGACTCTCTGTACAACAAAGCCAAGAAGCTCTCATAAAAGGTATTTCTCATTTCAGATCTGCTTCAAACAAAACAACAAATACTTCCTTATCGTTGGCAAAAGAGAATATATTTGATTATTTGTTTGACTATTTATTACCAACAGTTTTCCTTTACAGTGCCTTGCGAAAGTATTCGGCTCCCTTGAACCTTTCAACATTTTGCCACATTTCAGGCTTCAAACATAAAGATATAAAAATTAAATTTTTTGTCAAGAATCAACAACAAGTGGGAGACAATCGTGAAGTGGAACGAAATTTATTGGATAATTTAAACTTTTGAAACAAATGAAAAACTGAAAAGTGGGGCGTGCAATATTATTCGGCCCCTTGCGCTAATACTTTGTAGCGCCACCTTTTGCTGCAATTACAGCTGCAAGTCGCTTGGGGTATGTCTCTATCAGTTTTTCACATCAAGAGACTGGAATTCTTGCCCATTCTTCCTTGCAAAAGAGCTCGAGCTCAGTGAGGTTGGATGGAGAGCGTTTGTGAACAGCAGTCTTCAGCTCTTTCCACAGATTCTCGATTGGATTCAGGTCTGGACTTTGACTTGGCCATTCTAACACCTGGATACGTCTATTTGTGAACCATTCCATTGTAGATTTGGCTTTATGTTTTGGATCATTGTCCTGTTGGAAGATAAATCTCTGTCCCAGTCTCAGGTCTTTTGCAGACTCCAACAGGTTTTCTTCCAGAATGGTCCTGTATTTGGCTCCATCCATCTTCCCATCAATTTTAGCCATCTTCCCTGTCCCTGCTGAAGAAAAGCAGGCCCAAACCATGATGCTGCCACCACCATGTTTGACAGTGGGGATGGTGTGTTCAGGGTGATGAGCTGTGTTGCTTTTACGCCAAACATATCGTTTTGCATTGTGGCCAAAAAGTTCGATTTTGGTTTCATCTGACCAGAGCACCTTCTTCCACATGTTTGGTGTGTCTCCCAGGTGGCTTGTGGCAAACTTTAAACGAGACTTTTTATGGATATCTTTGAGAAATGGCTTTCTTCTTGCCACTCTTCCATAAAGGCTAGATTTGTGCAGTGCACGACTGATTGTTGTCCTATGGACAGACTCTCCCACCTCAGCTGTAGTTATCTGCAGTTCATCCAGAGTGATCATGGGCCTCTTGGCTGCATCTTTGATCAGTCTTCTCCTTGTTTGAGATGAAAGTTTGGAGGGACGGCCGGGTCTTGGTAGATTTGCAGTGGTCTGATACTCCTTCCATTTCAATATAATTGCTTGCACAGTGCTCCTTGAGATGTTTAAAGCTTGGGAAATCTTTTTGTATCCAAATCCGGCTTTTAACTTCTCCACAACAGTATCTCGGACCTGCCTGGTGTGTTCCTTCGTCTTCATGGTTCTCTCTGCGCTTTAAAGAGAACCCTGAGACTATCAAAGAGCAGGTGCATTTATACGGAGACTTGATTACACACAAGTGCATTCTATTTATCATCATCAGTCATTTAGGACAACATTGGATCATTCAAAGATCCTCACTGAACTTCTGGAGTGAGTTTGCTGCACTGAAAGTAAAGGGGCCGAATAATATTGCACGCCCCACTTTTCAGTTTTTTATTTGTTAAAAAAGTTTAAATTATTTCGTTCCACTTCACAATTGTGTCCCACTTGTTGTTGATTCATGACAAAAAAAATATATTTTATTTCTTTATGTTTGAAACCTGAAATGTGGCGAAATGTTGAAAGGTTCAAGGGGGGCGAATACTTTCCGACATCTGATTCCATTCCTATGCCTTCTTTTTATGAGACAAGGTCGCTCATAAAATAAGTGATAATACAATTTTTAACACATTTTAAGGATATATTGTATGAATGCCACCAAGACCAGTGAGAATGGACTGAGTAGTACAGTGGTATTAATGAATTTGAATGCAGCCACTCATTTTACATACATTTAGAAATAATTAAAATTGTAGGATTGTGTCGCCTGTTCTGGTTGTCAATGGTTTAGAGAATCAGATATCATTCTACTAAAACTAGTTTCAAACTATCTAATTTGAGCTAGAATAGATGCTTAATGTAATCACCAAAAGAAGACTACTTTTTTGAATCAGCAGAACCTATGGCCCTATAGAAAAAAATAATTTTGAGTTGAAATGATCGATTAGTGTCCAAAAAGATGTCTTTGATCCAAACCTCCTGGGTGATATGAAGCTAACGCTAGCCCTTGATAGACTGAAGCCAGGCCTCTGTGGCTTCAGTTGCTCCTGTTGCACTGAGACGGCTCAGAGTCTCATGGTGTGCTAGAACTTGTTCTGTCCTTGGGTCAGAACAATCATAAATGCACTGACCTACATCCTGCTGGTGTGACTGACACTGCGTACACATCTTTCTGATGACGTAGGCTGTTAATGGATCAATTGAAATTGGTGTAGAGATTTGACTATCAAGATCTAATTTGAAATGTAATCTAATCTCTCAGTTCGTATATTGTTTTCTATAAAATAAAGACACAGAAGTTACGTAAACAACAAACGTACAAACAAAAGCCTCTTTTGTTTGTACAAACACAAAGTTAGGTACTCCAGCTTTAAAGATTGTTGTATACATGTCAGTAGAGGTTTAAACTGCTGTGAGGGCAGGTGCTGTGTGTGATTCAACAGAATTGTGTTTTTTATAAAGACGTTTGTGTACCTTTTATTAACTAAATGTGTTTCTTGTCTTGAGACAGATCGTGAATAAATGCTCTTTATGCTGGGCGCTCACCTGATCACCTAAAGGAGGAAGAGGGACCAGGGGAAAGAAGGACCAGGGGAAAGAGGGACCAGGGAAAGGACAAGGTGACCTAAACAACCCAACAAGGACGAGGGACCAGCGGATACGATCTTCACCTCTGTGGGAGCATGGTCTTTCCTCCAAACACACATGCACACACACACTCTCTCTTCCTCGGTCTGAGCCCATGCTTACAGCGCCGCCCTATGGACAGATAAAGGCACTGCATCATTCACTCTCAGACTTTTTATGGCTCTTATGGGACTGGTTTCCATACTTTCTCTCCCTTCTCTGTGCTGGTCATTAGAGAGCATTGTCATATACTATTAAATATGCATACACACGTAGTACTGGACTTATCTCTGTGTAATATGAATAATGCTGCTGTTGGAATCTAAAGGGTTTAAAGTCATTGTTGATTCCTGATGACTAGATTTGCCAACTTTAAGATTTCGATTAAATATGTATTTCTTTCAGCATTGGCATTTTTGGATTCAAAGATATTTTTGAATAGGTTGTTAAATACATTGAAACATTTGGAGAGGTGTTGGGACCACAGCAGGAGGATCTTTGAATCTGAATGTCAAATTCATGATTGTATGTACTGTACATTTCTTGAAATTCCAAGATTTTGATTTTCCCTCTTTTTAGAAAATAAAAAAAATTCCTTAAACCAAAGCTTTCTACGTGTCTGTTTTTGATACGGGTGACTGGAGGCCTTTAATGAATGAGTTAGGTACTTACAGTTTCATAATTTAAATGACGAACAGTTTATGTCCATGGGTAAAATGGAGCTACATCTAAACTAACATTTAGTCAGTGTTGCTGTGTTTAACTTTTTAATGACCCACTTAAAGCCTAACTGTGTATCTTACTCTTTGAGAGTAAGAAATATTCTATCTTCATTTTATCAGAAGAATTCATATTGGTGGAAAAACTGATCTTGTGGCCACTACTTCAGAAGTTGAGCTCCTTTAATGACCTGAAACGCTCCTTTCAGACTTGAAGACAATGTCATTCAGAAGAATTTAATTGGTTAATTGAATGAGGGGCGTTGAAGCCCATGAATATGCCTTATGGGGCTGTTAAATTGTGTCAAACAGCCTTCATTTCCTCTTTTGTCCCTATACCCCTGATTGAGATGGTTATCTGCGGAGCTGCCATCATTGACTTTTCACAGAGCCTCTCTGTGGCCCGCGGCGTGGGTGAGGCCTCTGGCAGGTAAACACTGTCGGCCTGATGCTGAGAAGCGTGGAGAATAGGCTTTGGGGCAAACTACTACATCCATTGAAGAGGGCTGTGAATGGCTGCAGGGTTTTCACCTTAACTAACTTCACCTCATGCAACACAGCAGTTGTGGAAACAGACTTTAGGTACAGCAGCCTGCTAGGCCTATAGAATGATGCAGTCTGAGACTTGATGCCAAGAGGAGGCGTGTGGAGGTTTGTGTGGGAAGCAGCGGGAGCCAGACAGGCGACAGTGAGCGCTGCGTTGGCCTCGGGGCAGAGTAGGAGACGAGCCACAGCCAATGAGGAGGAGCGGTGCACTCCCTCTCTCCCGGCCCGCCTGCGCGCCTTGGTGCGCCCTGTAATTAGGCGCTCCACTGGGCTGGGCGACGCCACCGTGGACAGCGTCTCTGCTCTGGGAACACATCCACTCTGCCGCACACGGTCCGACAGCAGAGCGCACCATGAATGGACAAGCGTCCCCGGTGTACGAGGAGAAGAAGCCCTCGCTGCCAGAGCTCAGCTCCATCTCCGCCAAAGACTCGTCCGCGGGACAAGAGTCCTCATCCGCGGATTTCTACAGCAGTCAGAGCGCGCAGGACTTTTACTCCAGCGCGCAACAGGCGTACACGGCGCCGCACATGAACCCGTACGCGTACCACCACTACAACCTGAACGGCATGGCTCCAAGCAGCGGCTACTCTGTGGGCAAGACGGAATACCCGTACCCCCACACCGCCTATAGGGAGCACAGCGCCTTCAGCAGAGAGTTCCAAGAGAGCGGTGAGTGTCTCCTCTGTCCACCTGAACCATCAACCTGTAGTACCAGCACTGTCCACCTGAACCATCAACCTGTAGTACCAGCACCAGAAATTATCACCACACAGACCTGTAGTACCAGCACTGTCCACCTGATTCATCAACATGTAGTACCAGGCAGCACAGGTCACACACAGACCTGTAGTACCAGCACCGGTCACACACAGACCTGTAGTACCAGCACCGGTCACACACAGACCTGTAGTACCAGCACCGGTCACACACAGACCTGTAGTACCAGCACCGGTCACACACAGACCTGCAGTACCAGCACCGGTCACTACACAGACCTGTAGTACCAGCACCGGTCACACACAGACCTGTAGTACCAGCACCGGTCACACACAGACCTGTAGTACCAGCACCGGTCACACACAGACCTGTAGTACCAGCACCGGTCACACACAGACCTGCAGTACCAGCACCGGTCACTACACAGACCTGTAGTACCAGCACCGGTCACACACAGACCTGCAGTACCAGCACCGGTCACTACACAGACCTGTAGTTCCAGCACCGGTCACTGTAATGAGTCACAGTTCTGCTCTGAGCTCACGTCTCACCAAACTGTGGGAAGGAATCTAATTGTATGTGAGTCGCACACTCCTGAGCCCACATTAGTTTAGTTCTGTGCTTACAAACAGAATGCATCGAGTTGTGTATTGTGTTTTACTATTCGGTCTCACAAAGTTGTAGAGTATACACTAGAACATTATTATTATTATGTATTGTTGTTATTATCATTGTTATAATTATTATTATCGTTATTATTATTATCATCATTACTATTACTATTACTTACTATTATTATTATTATTAATATTTTTAGTTGTTATTGTTGTTATTATAATTATCTATATTAATATAATTGATTGCACAGCCCCTGAAGTTTAAAGCTGGGGGACCTAACTTTCAATCCACTTTACACAGAACTTAATGATAACATAAATGTGTCTTGTTCAAACCAGTTTGGTTTTATCGCTAGTATGAAGTATGTATTTTTTTTGGCTTCTGTTATGTCTTTAGCCAATCAGACCAAACCGTCAAATTTTACTCTTTCATAATTTCATTCATACAGGGACTTTTTCAAACTTTTGTGTGCAAAGTGTGCAAAAGATTTTATAATGAGATGAAGACGGAAGTTTCTGATGTGATTTGTTCAAAAGAAAGAGATGTGAAGCGAACTACTGAACATGTAATGGAAAATACAAGTTAGGTGAAGGTGCACAACAATGTTACACTGGAAAAATGATAAATCTGACCTAATTAATTGATTTTTTTAAATATATATATATTTTTAAATATTTTATTTTTTATTAGAGTTTTTTCTGACTGTCTTAAAACAAAATTTGCCAATGGGACAATGCCGTTTAATTATATTTCAAGAACTGTTGCTTTATTTTTTCTCATTCCAAGGGAGACATTATTATTTATTTTTTTATTCTTAAGATAATTTTGCTTTGTCCCGTTGGCAAATCGTGTTGGTTTTTCAATTAAAATGTGCTCAAACAAGATACATTTAGCCACAATAGAGAATTGATTTATTCATTCATATTTTTTTGCAGTGTACATCCATTTAAAACAACATTTTCAATTTTTGTGTATTCATTTTATGATTGTGACTAAAGCAGTGCGGGTGACCGACTGTACGGAAGGGGCTCGCCTCTCCACAGAGCTGACCGGACCCTGGTGCTCTTCATGGACATAGATTAGTCAAATGCAGAGTGAGGTCTGACACAAACCACTGATCTCTCCATTACGTGGCAACCTCTGAAAAGTACACGGCCTATCGCTGCTCTCTGGGTTTCCACTTTCCAACCAGACCTTTATTCTTTTTGTTTGACCAAATGTAACTTCAACTCTTAGGGCTGTACCTCTTTTACAGGAAAAACAGGTGTAGTGTTTTTGTCTTTTTGTGTGTAGTCTTTTTGTCTTTTAGTCTGATTTAAAAAGATTTCTTCTAAAGTGGGAGGTTGTTCATATGCGTTTGTGTGATTCTTAAAAGCAGAAATCATCGAGTCTCACAATGATTTAACTAAAAAAATAGAACATCTTAATTTTGCTTGCTAGATAAGGCAAAACAAGGCGATTTTTATAAATTAGCACAGTTTATATACTAAGGAAATGCATGCAAGTAATTCATACACAGATAAAATAATATAAATATATATATAAAAAAAGGGCATAATAGTGGTAGAAGCCTGTCTCACATTTTCAGGAAGACTGTTCCATATTTTAGCTGCATGAATCTGAAATTAAGCTATACTTCATTGTCCACCACCATAAACTGTATAAAAGGATTGGACTGTCGGAGTGCTGACGTCACCATGGTGTTTGCCCAATGTGGATGAAGCTGATGTGTTGCTAACCTGGTCGCTAAGGCAAGCTGAGTTTCCCCCTCTAATGAAGCATCTGATTGGTCAATTCTTATGGCTCAGGGCATTAAAACAAAGCTTCTATTGCCCAAAATGGTGAGTGTGACGCAAACAGGGTTTTCCTGAGTTAGAGGAGATAATTTTTTACTTTAAGTCAATAGGACCTATTGCGAGTTGAAGCAAAACTTCGTCCATGAGCACTTCCCCATTAAGCTAGCTGGTTAGCACTACCCAGCTTTATACAGTCCATGGTCAGGACTACTGGAGCTGGAGGATATTTCATTTTGTGCATGTTTGTAGTGGTAGTGGAAACCGGAGCACCCTGAGCAAACCTACGCAGACACAGGAACTCCAAAGACCATGTTCCAATCGGGACTCGAACCTAAACTGTATTAACAGATTTATTGTGATAATCTGCGAGTTCTATTAAGACAGAACTATTGTGTAGTAGGCAGTTTTTATTTTATTTGAATTGAATCTTCACTCCTCAGTGCGCCCCGTGGTGGCACATTCAGCCTGTACGCTTAACGATAGACATAGATAGAGGTTTAGATTATTTTGATATAATCTATTGTTATAATCTAGAGTGGAGATAGAACCTAATCTGCATGAACACCTCATAAATCAGCAATGACAACACGGTAACAAAGTAATTATAGTAAAGCTATAATCAAACTGGACCAGCTCCAACTCAAACATAACTAAACAAATTCCCCCTTTGTGAGGATGTGGCATTAAATGTTTTATAATCGTTATCAGTAAAGCCAGGGATTATGTGAAACACACCGTATTAGAGGTTTGATTCATTTTGCCCGTTTTGTATTTGTACGTCTGCTTTGAATTTTTCTATAAAATTTAAACTTTTTACAGTTAGGAATAAAAGTCATAAGACAAATATTGCAGAAATGAAACATGTCAAATGAGTAATAATTGTATTTGTGCGGAACACTGTGTAAACTCAAGGCAAGAAATGCACAAACAAGTAAAATAATATTTTTTATTTTTATTTTTAAGAAGATACACAACTGAACACAACAGTTTAAATCTGTAATTGAACACTGTAAGAGTAGAAGCTTGTCTCACATTTTCAGAAAGATTGAATTTCTGATCCCCAAAGTATAGTTCTGGCGATGGGCACCAGCAGAAGGCCAGTCCCTGTGCTCCCCAGAGTCCCAGCGAGAGGCCAGTCCCTGTGCTCCCCAGAGTCCCAGCGAGAGGCCAGTCCCTGTGCTCCTCAGAGTCCCAGCGAGAGGCCAGTCCCTGTGCTCCTCAGAGTCCCAGCGAGAGGCCAGTCCCTGTGCTCCTCAGAGTCCCAGCGAGAGGCCAGTCCCTGTGCTCCTCAGAGTCCCAGCGAGAGGCCAGTCCCTGTGCTCCTCAGAGTCCCAGCGAGAGGCCAGTCCCTGTGCTCATGAATGTCCCAGAAATAATGTGGATAAATCAAATACATTTCCCAAAAAAGGAGACTTAAGGTCAGACATAGTTCTGCTCCAGAGACTAATAGCGCTTGTTCTGTTTATGTAGCGTGTGTTGGGTAGTTCTAAGTCGACCATAATAAAAACACGACTCGTTAGCAGTGAGACAGTAAATCAGGAAGTGTCCATCAGGCCGCATCTGTAAGTGAATAATTAAAATTTTATTTGTACAGCGCCTTTCACAGACCAAGATCACAAAGCGCTTCATATTTAAAACATACAGATCAAAATATAACACATAAAAGTCAGATTCACTGCTGTGTGGTGAGATAGAGGAGGACCCACAAAGCTGCAAAAATAATGGTTCAATGATAAAGATAGAATAAAAATCCAATGTCAAAACGAAAGTTACAAATCCAAATGAAACACAGGAACCTGGAATGTTTTTTTCTTTCTCTCTAATGTCATTCTGTACATTAGAACTTAGGTGTGTTTCCAAAGATCAAATATATTTTACAATAAGGAAAAAAAGAACTAAAACGTGTATACTAAGAATTTCGGTGCTAAATAGTGCCTGACCGAAAGGGGTTTAGGCTGAAATCGAGACTTTTATTCTTGCAACTGTGACAATACGTCCAATACATGACAAATTTTTTACAGATTCTCATTTACCAACAATGACATGTAGCGCAAAACTTAAACTTACAAAATAACCCATAATCCACACCGTGACAGTAACCTTCTTTCTGCAGCCATCAGAACAGTTTCTTGTGTGTTGAGATGAGGAGAATCAGGCAGAGCAGGGATTTTAACAGGACACAAACGGGAACAAACACCTCCCAAAAGTGTCAAAGTCTTGCTCTAACTTGTACCCACAGAGTTTGTATGACAGAGCACAAGGTGGATCTGTTTTACATTTTAGTTTAATGACTTTGCCTGGAGTTATGTTTGTTGTGTGGAGAGAGTGCAAATGGATCCCAAACATGTATAAAGTCCACAGGTAGATTAGGAATATCAGTCCTCCAGCCAAGACCCAAGTGCAATGGCTCTCTGTGGGGGTGTGAAAAAGTATACAAATAAATGTGAATATATATACATGTAAAGTACAGTGTTCTTCATGGATGAGGCCAGAAGGGTCGATCTCATTTTGGTTGAGGGCCAAATAAAAACAGAAGAACATGTGAGGGGCCAAAAACTTGGAAGGGATTTCATTTTCTTATAATTTTATTTGGACATGACCTTTATGTGACATGAGTTTCACTGTTATTTTCTGGTTGATTTTTCTGAAAACAAAAGGTGTTTATTGTTTAGATTCAACCAAAACTGGACCAAATACAAAGTTTAACACATTATTTTTATATCTAACTATTTAACTTCTAACGATGTATTGGGTTAAAATTCTCGAATAAATTACATTGTGTTGTTTTCCTGAGAAAATAGATGATACATAACATCAGCATAGCATTAATAATAATAACTTTCAATTATTATTAATGCTGCAAGTTATTGATAATAATTGAAAGTTATTAGGGGCCACTAAAAATTGTCCTGGGGGCCGGATTTGGGCCAGGAGCCTGAGTTTGACTTGTCTGGACCAGTCTATATTGAGAAAAGCAGTGAAGCAGTGAAATGTGCAGTCAAAAATAGTCGTCCAAGGCACTCGTTATCTTCTGCTTTAACACTTATGGACAGGAGAAGCAGCTACGTGTTTGACACAAGGGAACTATTTTAGATTTTTCTGTCTCACTGTGTTTATTTTTTCATCTTAGCGTTTGTCCATTGCCTGATCCTGAAGATATCGTAGCCCTTTAAAGCATTCCTATAGTCTCCTCCACATATATATATTTTACTATTCAATTTAAAAAAGAAAGTCTGCAAGTTCATTTCAGGACTGCTTCTCACCTGACGTAACCAGAGGTGTCATAACAAGAGAAGATTTGTCTAATGGAAAAAAAAGTAGTATTAGGCAATGTTTAAAGTTGGAGTAAGATGATAAGGTTTTCATGTCAAGTTGTCATTAAAGGGCCCTAATATGTCAAAAGTCATTGATAAAAAATGACTGCTCTTTTCCAACACTTCTTTAACTGATTACAGTCAAGATACTTGAATTTCAAAATGAGTTTTACAGCTCCTAAATCTTGTTATTGTTTTCATTTCGATGTCCCACCCTCCGCCGTTTTACCAATCGGAAAGTCTGTGTTTCCAGATCTCACTGCGCCGAGCTAAGTAACATGTGGCCGCAGAACTAAAAAAATTCTTGTTATGATTCTCAAATCATTTACGACAAAAAAAGGAATTTCTATAAGGGATTTCTTTGTGAAAAAGTTGTTAGTGATAGATTTGTTGTTGACAAAACTCTCGTCTATTCAGCTATGTTGTGTGTGTGTGTGTCTGTGTGTGTGTGTGTATGTGTGCGTGTGTGTGTGTGTGTGTGTGTATATGTTGAATTCTCTTAATAGCTCTGAAACACAAGAGAAAGTTGGTTTTGATATTTAATATGTTTATTTTCTGATAATGAAAGAGGAAAATGCATCTATATTTGAATGTATTTATACTGGCCAAAGTGTGTGTGTACATGTTGAAAGCTCTAAACAGCTCTAAACAGCTCTAAACAGCTCTAAACAGCTCAGTGAGTGTGTGTAGGAGTCTTTGAGGAGCGGTGCTGGCTGTGGAAAGGGCCTGGGGGACTTTGGCCCACAGCCACGGTAACATCAGGTGTCAAGACATGTCAGTCAGCCTTGGCCTTTGAATCATCCAACAGTGAAGGTTCCTTATCACGCAACGCTGCTCCAGGCCACGCCCCCTCAGCGTACGCGGCCAGAATCAACAAACTGTAAACACCGAACGACCGCTGCTGATAGGAGCCTCCATAAAGATAGTTACGTGCTCATAAAGAGGCCACTCATGCAATGTTCGTCCAAGCCAACGGGAAAAAACGAGATTTGTCTTATTGTTTGATCAGTTTTTGTTAGTTCACTCTCTTGAAAAGCCATCTTTACCCACATAGTTAAAGCTAGGGTACGTAACATTGAATCACAAAACAGAACCACGCAACTATGTAATAAAACTGTAGTTCCTCGCTCTCAAAACGGTTTGGTTCTGCTGCTAGTTTGTACATATTTGAATCTACTTTTTAGGTCTTTGTCCCTCCCTTGGATCAGCTTTTTCAGTCAGAAAGGTAAAAAAGAGAGGTGTCTTCACTCAGCCAATCAGATCTCTGCCCAATGAGTCAAATAGTGACTTGCAAAAGAGAACATGTTATTTACTAAGACGAACCCAGCATGTTGTGGTTTGATTTCTTCATTTTACTTTTAAAGGACTCTTCAGTTCTGACAAATATTTGGTATTTATTCATGAAAATAAAGTTAGGTTCCACAGCTTTAAGATGAACGCCTACCTGTTGTTTTGAAAGGTCAGAGTTGTCCAGTGTCAGACCAGTATGTAGTAGGATTCCCAGTTAAGTTCCCAAGTGGGCGTCGTGTTTAGGAGCGGCCTGCAGGCTACATGAAAAGCACCTATAAATCTCAGTCTCGCTGCTCGGCTGTGGGACGCTCAGACCTAAATTATAAGCTCCCAGTGCAGGCGGAATTTCTTTGAAATGTTGGGGTTGCAGAAGCCGCCGCTATTTTTGTCCTTTAACTTCACACAAAGTGGCTTTTTGAAGCCTTGCACAAACTCACAGAAAAAAATAAACATTATTTTGGGGGAAAAAGTTACGTGACAATGAAAAATAGGAATGAGCGATAGTTGTTGCTTTAGAGCGTAGCGAGCTAAACAAGGAATTGTCAATAGTCATGTTTTAGTTCTTAATGTGTCCTATGATTAAATATCTGAACAGACAGTTGGTCGTGTCCAAAATCCACCGACACAGCCGTTTTTGTCCTGTTTGTAGTCATGATGCGATGTTTCGTATGTTGTTTTGCGATGTCGTATTGTTTTAAAGACAGTATTCTGGAATGTTTCACAAAAGTGGTATTTCTTAGGTCTTTATTTGTTACTTTGTGGCTCATTTGGAAACATGTGTGGGATGCGCAGATATTACAGTCAATGCCTTTGGATTTCATTTTGTTCTGTAGCTTGAGTCTTGGATCTACAGCCCGTCCGTCTGTGGGAGCGGATCCCTCTCTCAATGTAGACCTCCCTGAAGTTTCTCACATTTTCCTACTGAGATTAGAGTTGTTCCTTGCTTTTTCCTTCCTGGTTTGATTCTCAGATCTATGTTGGCGAATTCAAGAGTTTTGTTATGTCCTCTGAGACAACAACTGTTGTGATTTAGGGCTATACAAGAATACATTGAATTTCTTGTTCACTAAATAATAATATATTCTGATAATTGTGTTCCACAGTGAAAGAGGAACCAGACATGGAGGTGCGGATGGTGAATGGGAAGCCCAAGAAGGTGAGGAAGCCGCGGACCATCTACTCCAGTTACCAGCTGGCCGTGCTGCAGCGCCGCTTCCAGAGCGCTCAGTACCTGGCTCTGCCGGAGCGTGCCGAGCTGGCGGCACAGCTGGGGCTCACACAGACACAGGTAAAACAAATGGATTATTACACTCTCCATTACATGACATGACATATATCTGCTCAATTTAAGAACACAAACTTATATTTATTTGTATTTATTTTATTATTTATTTTATATATTAAGAGGAAATTCAATGCTTTTATAATCTTCAGTTACATATGATACAGTATTTAGGGACAATAGAATGATATTATACATAACATCATGAACACTATCATCAAAGTGTTAAAATGATGCAGTGGAGTAAACCCTCTCTAAAGAAGCAGACAGCAGCTGTTCTGTTCTGCAGCGTCTCGGAGTCTGTGGCTCAGAATGATGTTCCTCATCTGCATCCAGGTGCTACCATCACTGCTCCAGCTTCACTGTCTGTTGTTGCAGTTTCAGAGACAGAGAGCCTGTTTGCTCAGGGACTGTAGAAGATAAAAAACAGAATCAGATTTGTAAAACATTGTCAACATTTTCAAGAGCCTACTATGGCTCTTCTGGAGAAATGTGTCGATGTTCAGGGTAGTTGTGTAGTTCAGGGTGAATCCATGTCAGGCCCATATTTGGAAACTGGAGGACGCATTTTGTTTTTCTTTTGGAAATGTATTTTATTCTTTCATTTTTAATTTGTTAAAAATGATAGAATTCCTGGTGCCTCAATACCCAAAGGCATCACGTCCCTGTTCTCTGCTTGAGTCTCTATTGAATAATGTTTTTCAATCCAGAAATCCAGGCCCCGCCCTGCTAAGCTTCTGATTTATAGAAAGATTATTCTTCCACAGGCAGATATGACCAACATGCTTTCTCCATCTTATTCAAAAACATTAAATTTTTTACATACTTGTAAGAAAGAGCGCTGAGAGTCTGTGTTTGAGGCTTTGGGCTGGGAGAGCTTCTCCCGCAGAAGATAAGGAGCACAGAAGTATATTACGCAGCCTGTTTATTCATCCAACTTGACTTTCTCCATTCTGAGATAATTAAAGTATATCTCATGTCACATTTTTTATTTTTTTGTTCAAGAAAGTTGATCCAAAATTGTGACAGAGCTGGTGTGAGCTACAGTTCCATACAGTATATTACATAGTTCAGTTGTTTGTGGTTTAAAAGTTATTTGAAAGTTACAAGTACAGTTAAAGTGGCAACTTGGAGCTGATGGAGCTACAGGCAGTGACATTTACAGTTCCTGATGATGGATGCTCTGCCCATGCTGCTCACAGACACAGTGGATCCACGGTGGCAGCGGTGAGAGCTGCAGCCTCAGACGGATGGGGAGGGGACACGGGGCACAGTCTGAGCCGAGTCTGCATGTCTCTGTGTAGGTTTCCAAAACAATTAAACTGTGCACCATTCAGATGAAAGAGTGTTCTCGGCAGTGGCTATTCGTTCATATCCACTCTCCAATTCGGATTAAATTATTAGTTACAATACAGTAGATAGATTGTGGACATGGGCAGGCTGTGTTACTTCTGCACACCGCTGGATTGGTCCTGGTTTGGTTCTTGGGTAGACTTTGGTCACATCAAATCCATTTATTTTTCTCAATTAGAATACATGAAAAATAGAAGAAAAAATCTAAGTCCCTGTCCATAGACCCTCCTGTAAACAATTATAGCCACACAGTGAAGACTTTTACTAATAATAGCAGCCTCGTCTTACAGCTGGTCAGACAAGTGAAGTTATTCTTTATTGTCCGCATAGAAAAACTTGTCCAATGCATTTGACCCACCACTGCCACTACACTGCGCCCGGGGCTCCTCTCCAGACCTTGTTCCTTTGCTTGGTCAGGACCAGAGCAGGAAGATTTTACCTTTAGGACATGTTTTGAGCGGTATATGGGAAACCAGAGCACCCAAAGAAAACATACACAGACACAGCGAGAATCCACTCAGAAAGGTGGAGGTGGAATCAAACCTACAGCACCCTCTTGCTGAGCAGCACTGCTAACCACTCAGCCAGCATGTTTTACATTTTAAGTGAAGGCATACGACTGATTTTACTCTTAATTAGAACAGAGTTTGACTGATGATCCAGGACTGTGATATTCAGCATCATTTATGGACATTGGTCATCTACCCCTTATAAACTGATGGCTCGATGTTTTTTTTGTTTTGTTTTCTTTTTGATTGTCTGATCTGTGTTGGGGAATCAACGGTTTTGTCGAGTTCTCCGAGATAACTATTCTTGTGATTCAGGGCTATACGAAATCAAATGAATATGAATTGGAGCGAAGTGAGGTGAGATGAGGATGATATCCGGGGCCGTGGTGACAGTGTAGTTTACAGAAGCAGAACAAGCAGATTTACGGTAGTGTGAAGGATCCGCTCAGGTGTTAACAGACGCAGCCCCGTGGCTCCTGTTTTCTGCCTGACACCTGTAATTTATAGCTTGCCATTCCTCTTGACTTCCACGTGTAATACTCTGAAACAACAATCTTCAAGTTGCGATCCAGGCTTATGTTTTTGCGCCACAATAAAAGTGCTTTGTAAATTACAACCATAATGTATTTGGCCACTAAGTATTCAATCATCTTTATGACATTACAGACACAATATATTATCTCTCTGATGCAACTACATGAAGAGACATGAATGAAGTCCTTTTTTCATTGTCTTTTATATTATGAAAAAAAGTTGGTTTAGTATTTTTAATTATATTGTAATTTTATTTGGTTTAACCTTTTTTCAACCTGTAGGTCCCTTGTGATAAAACCTCTTTTTTGTGGGAAAAACTGTATATTTTGATTATAATGTTTAAGGTACATTCTGCTGTCCTGGTGGCGGAACGCTTTTTTCTGGAGTTTTAAATGTGGTTGTTTGTTACTTTCCTTTTACATTGGAAATAAAAACCTAACTTCACTCAGCTAAATTACTGGTTGTACCTGTGGCAAAAAATGTGGATTTTTTAAAAGTAAATTTAAGGCTGCATTACCTCACGTTATATTTGTATTCATTACAAAAATTCAATCCATATCCATGCAATGCATTGGGATATACGTCCTTTTGAAGAAAAAGTAGCACAGGTTTGTACTCGATCTAAATTTTATTTTAGATCGAGTTTTCGTGCAACAAGGAAGAGACTTTGTTTTGGGACCAGATTGTGACCAATCACAGCGGACCACAGGCCCCCACTTTCTTGAGAAAAGCTACAGGTCTCTGCACCTTTAAAGTCAACTTTTCAAGTAAAGCTATAACAGCTGCAGGACAGTTGAAGAATGCAAATCTATAGTGTTTACAATCTTCAGTTATAATCATTACATTTTGTTGCCTAGGTGAAAATCTGGTTCCAGAATCGCCGCTCGAAGTTCAAGAAGCTTTACAAGAACGGCGAGTTTCCTCTGGGAGACATGCCCCTGGAACACAGCCCTGAGGCCAGCGACTCCATGGCCTGCAACTCACCTCCCTCCCCGGCTGTGTGGGGCGAAAACACCCCCAACCCCACCCCCACCACCACCAACAGCAACAACAACAGCAGCAGCAACAGCAACAACAGCAGCAGCACAGGCAGCAGTAGCAGCAGCAGCACAAACAGTGGGGGCGGAGCTAAGAATAACAGCATGTTGGATCCGGCCAATCGGGGGCAGCCCACCTTCCAGCCGCCCGTGGAGTCTGCGGCCGCGTACATGAGCGACTACAGCCACCCTCACTGGTACCAGGGGCCGGTACCAGGGGTGTCCATGGGTCTGGGTCCGGCCGGCTCCATGCACCTCGGCTCGGGCCCCTCCGCCGCCACGCCGGGCTCTCACAGCGTGGGGGCCGTGTACTGACTGGCCACGCCCACGATACGGAGGAGAGGCTGAACCAAAGGCATTACAAACTCATAAAGGATTCTATTTTTGTTTTATATTTAATATTTTAAAACTGGATATTTATATAGTTTGTCATAAGGCTTTTTTCTACTACTGAGATTTTGTAAACTCAGCAAAAGGGCACTGGAAGACTGAAAAGGACTGATACTTTGACCAAAGATAGCTGTGCCTTCAATACTCCGTCGCATTAAAACATATTTGCATTACTGTAGCATAGACACAAAGCTTTTCTCTTTGTTTACACCGGGGCATTTTTAGGTGAATATATTTCCCTGTATTTATTGAAACAATAAAGGGTGCTAAAATATGACTTTTAAACATGACACCGAGTGCAAATATTATGTTAGTTGCACACTGCTTGGAGCCAAAGAATAAAAAAAATGTTTTAGTTTCAGCTCAAAAAGAACATGTCCAACTTGTTTAACTGTTACGTTTATTATTAGCCGCCGCATTGTATGAGAGTGAAGATGCGCTGGAGTTAAGCCAGGATAAGTACAGGAAGATTTGTTTTTGTTTTCTAAGGAGACAACTGAATATTAACCCTTTAACATTCACTCCTTGAAGAAAGCACATTTTTGCATTTTCTAAGATGTAGGAGCACTAATAACACACATATTTTTTAATAATTTTTTTTTAGATGCAGTTTGATGGTAAAAGTTGTTGGTATTTGGAGATTTGACCAGCATTTTTTCAAGGCAAGGCGTGGTTACTTGTACAGCATAGTTCATATGAGGCAACTCAAAGGGCAAAGTCACACAAGGCCTTACAATCCTCCAGAATCAGTACGAATGAGTTAGACTACAGTTGTATGCATGGGCAAGACAGAATCTGTGTAGAAGCCTGTCTCTTATTTTCAGGAAGACTTTTCAAGACGCATCTAAAAACGCGGAGATTTCCAGTGTACTCCTCGCATTTTGAATTTGAGAAGTCGACCGCAAAAGCATGGGTTTTATTGCCCAAACATGCATTCAAAAATTGGTCCTGTTATTGTCAAGTTGTGATTCACTGCAAAAAGTAATGAAAAATGTCTCAAATCTCGCTAAATGAATCTTTATTTGAGCACATTTTGACTGCCTTAAAACCAGATTTGCCAATGGGACAGGGAAAATGATAATGTTTTAAAACAGTACAAGAAATGTCTCCCTTGGAATGACAAAATACACAGTCAGAATGTCCTCAAATTAATATAAAAAACACTTGATTCAGGCATTTTTTACGTCATATTTAATCACTTTTTGCAGTGTATTGTGAAGATCGTTGCATTGTTTTTCTGTCAACCCTCTCACCACAGCTCACATCTCGCTTACACTTGATGCACAGATTTAAAACAGCTTTTTCTGGCGGTGAATGGGAGAGGGCCTGACCACAAACGCACAATCTGCAGCACGCGGTTTTGTGAGACCAAGTGCAGGGATTCTTCTTCTGTGTTTGCGACGCATAAAATGTAAAATTGCCATAACAACATCAATGTACACACAAGTCAGCTTCAAGTATCTCATTTATTTTTTTACTTCGGTTCCAGAGGTTGCGTTTATGTTCTAGAATTCTATTGGAGGGCAGGTTCTAATACAACTCTATGGGGAAGAAGAATTTCATGAAAACAAATGCTGGGAAATAAAATGTCCAAATGTTTCCCCAGATCATGATTTGATAGTGATAATTTTCTCAAACGCATTTCATTATTAAGTCTGAAAGTCCTCTCTACATTATCATTCTTGTGTTTTTATTGTTTTTATATTGACACCACTTCACCACATCTGTATGAGGAAATAATAAGACCATAGGGAAATCTGAAATGATCTAATTATCTAATCCTTATCTTGTGCTGGTAAAAGAAGATGTGGAATTTTTTGACTGTTTTTCTTTCCTGTGGATTGTCCCAGAAATTACAAAGAAATTCTCTCTTAAGGAAGGAAATCTGATAGCAGTTTCTTGGGAATATTCTTCAGCTGCCCTCCCGCACTATAGACTCGCTGGATCATGCGCCTGGTTGGTTTATTCTTCAAAAATGAGCTATGCAAATCCAAACGTTTTATGGAGTCACCCGTCTTGACGAACCAGTGGCGTCAAAACTCAAGTTAGCAGTACAAGCTACAAGGAAACAGTCAGCTTATTCCTGCTTTTATGTTTTTTGTTTGTTTATTTATATACACATGTTAAAATACCATTGTCACGGTAACATCACATCTCTCACGGTGCGTTATTCCTTCTTAAATGTCTCGTGCCTTGGTGGAGTTTGAGGACTAAATAAAAGGTAGATTCTGCTGTTGTTTCTTTGCCTTCTTGTGCGGTGAGTCATGGCAGGTAGGTTGCACCCATCTGGTCCCGGTGCAGACTGTGTGGAGACAGCAGCCGTAATAACACACGCCGCACTGCGCTGCTTTCATGTGGCCTGCAGAGGAGTGTGTGCATGACAAACAAACCTTCACCCGAAATGCCCAGAGACGCCAAGACAACTGAGGCAAACACTGTTGTTCTAGAGACAACAGACGGATCAGGTGGCGCTCAAAATGATTACTGTGTGCATATAAATGTTTGCAAAAGCGTTCAACTGTCTAGTCTGAATCTATTAGTTTCATACTTTTTTTTTATTCTTTATTTTTTGATGTGACCGTGTTCCTTCCCTTCTCATTTGCCGTGTCTACATACTCAATCAATTTTATTTACAGAGCGTCTTTCCATACGCAAGGTGACGCAAAGCTCCTTACAACAGAAATCAAGCATAAATCATCAAACATAAAAAAATACAATTCAAATAGCACAGGGCATCAAAAACAAACATCAAGATAACAACATATTAAAAACAAAACAAATAGAATGTCAAAAGTAATTAAAAACATGAATCTCACATGGGATTAAAATCCTAAAAGGGTAATCCAACTTCATACACAAGATCATATAACTGCTACTGTAGTGTAAAGGTCCCTTCATTTAAAATCAGGAGAACACTTTTCTCCTGATTTTAAATCAGGTTTTTTCCCGTAGCCCTGAGTCCTCTGCAGCTGTATTTTTCAGTCTATGTGCGGCTTTTGACAGTTGCAGCAGCACCGGAACCTACACTAAACAGGTTTGATATCTCAGCGATTGCACTTCAGCAGTTGAGTTCAGGTGGTTAGAAAAGTGTAAAAAGTGTGTGCCTTAAAACAAACCTTAAAACATACCGCTGCTACTTTGTGAATGTCACTTATTTTTAAAGGTAACCCCTGTGATAAACGAGGGACCACTGTATTCTTAAAGTGCTTCGGTTAGACCCACCCACACTCACCCCCGCAGCTTCCTGTTGGTCCACATTAATCAACATTTCTGAGGCCCCTGGTCATTGGTTTGACTCTTCTTCATGTTAATTATGATAATGCTGAAAAATACCTCCTTTACATAACAGACCAGTGTCCCATGGTCAGAAAATGAAAAACAATTTAAGTCGCTGACATCAGCTTTAATGTGTTTTCCTACTTCAACAGTAATTACCTGCATACATTGCTCTTGGCTTGTGGAAGTGACACATGTTGATAGCAGCACAGCAACATGAAGCTACATGAATCTCGGAAAATTAGAATATTGTTTAAAAAGTCCATTTACTTCTGTAACTCAACTTGTGTGTCAACAGTGTGAGACTTGTATATGACAGGCTTATTACACACAAACTGAGATATATCAAGCCTGGTTAGCGCTGTGATGGGAGACCTCTGGGAACACCAGGTGCCACAGATTCAGTTTATTTGCCATTTGCAGTAAAAAAAACCACATTGGAATACATTAGCAAAAAGTCTCCAGTGTGCACAGACAAATACAGACATAAAACAACATTAAAAGACAGAAATAAAACAAATAAAACAGTGGAGCGGCTGTGGATGTAAAGTGCCAAACGGTTGTGTACCCAAAAAATACTCTTCAATTACATTTCCTAGAATGAGTCTGGCTGTAGGCACAAACTGTTTGCCTCGTTTCAGTCAGTCTACCCCAAGGCAGCTGTGGCTACAGTTGTAGATGATCACCGCTGTGTTCTGAGTGAATAATACGATGTACAGTGTCTTTGAGTGTCCAAATAAGCACTACAAATCAATGCAGTTGATATGTTTGCTTATTTGACCAGGAACTCATGGTTAGTTTTTACTTTCCATCACATTGGTCTCTGGAGGCTATAGGAGCATCTGTTTAGAAGGTTCTCTCAGCTGACGGACCCAGCGCCAGAAAACCTACAACACAATGGAAAGTACAGTGCAGACTTTAGACATAACCCTAGACAAAAGTAAAAGGCACCATGTGACCACTTCTACAATCACAGGTCACAACAAAGTCTTACGTGCAAAAATACCAACTTTTTTCACATAAAAAGTTACATATTGCGCATTTAAGCGTCAAACACAGATCAACAATTCAACATTGAGCTGTTTCAAGTGCTCATAATATGCGAGGCATTGATTTTTATACATACGTACATTTTATGTTTTTTATAAATACATTATTTGAACAAAATAAGGTATAGTTTTAATCCTTTGGGCGGCATGAGCAGGGATTGAGGTTTGATCCACACATTTCTCTGGTGTTTCGTTTTGCTGTCTGGACGTCAGACTTGGTCTTGACACGTGTCAAAACAGGCTGAGCCCATGCAGTCGTGTTGCTGCCCTGCTTCAGGCAGATTCTCTGATTTCCTCTCCTTTTTTCCTGCACCAGAAAATGTACAATTCAAAATGGTTCATAATAATAACATTATCTATATTATTCAATACAATATCATAGGCTCTTGGTCGTGACTCTGAAAGAAAATGAAGAAAGTAAATCCTTGGGACTATTTCTAAAATGGATTTTTTCCATTGCATATAATTTTAAAACGGTTTTTAAGTTGTTCCTTGCTGAAGTCGGAGGATTTAAGGACATGTATTAACATACTGTACATGTACAGTATATGGACCTTGGTCATCCCCGCTCCCTACGGACCAAAGGCTTCTATGTGTTTGTTATTGTTGCATCTTCTCTGATCTTTGTAAACGTCTTCCCAAACGACTGTTGCTATGATTTAGGCCTGTGCAAAAACAGATGGAATAATATATTATTGATATTAAATAAAGTTATAAAGACATTTGTAAACACATCAACACATGATGAAAGCTTTTGAATAATGCATGTTTTTGTGCATGTTTTTATGTGTACACATCTTGTGTCAAAGTCAGGCTGATGGCCCTGGAAGGATTTTATATTATCATTTTTACAGTAACTTGCAGCATTGATTGTAATGGGATACAATGTTATACTTCATTTGAAATCTTGTTTTCTCAGAAAAACAACTATATAAATAAATCAGTTCGATAATATTTACTCATTAGAATTTAAGGTAGGCCAATGATATGTATATATACTGTACTTTATATAAGTCTTCATTACATCATTACATCATTTGGTACAAATGTGATTGAATCCAAACCTACAGAAAATAACATCCAAACTTGTGTCAAATAAAAAGTATTTGTCAAAATGCAAAAATATGTAAAAAGAGATAATGATAATTACATCATTTGGTAATTAATAATTTAATAATTTATTAAATTATTATAATAATTATTATAATGATAATTAGGAAAACCACTTTTATACTTTTGGCCCCAACTAGCTCTTACTTTCTTAAAAAATGACTTTGACTCTCCTGTTGTGTGTGAATGTGAACTATGTGACTGTATCAATGTAACCTTTTCTGCTCAAATGAATGAATACAATGAATGTATTTTTAGAATTGGATGGAGACAATAAGTAGCAGACTGTTCTTATCACAAAGTTAACAGTTGACGAGGGCAAAGTTGTATATTACAGCTGTTCATTTCAAGTCCTCTGACACATATGGCTGAATATAGTTTCAAACTGACTGTGGTCAGAGCAGAGCAGAGTGAGCCGTGTCTGCTGCTGTTCTCAGGCCTCTGCGTGGCCTCCAGGCTCCAGCACGAGGGCGTGTTTCATCCCTAACCACAGTCTCTCTTCTCTGGGACATCTTTCTTGTTTGTTTAGGCTCTTACCTTCCTGTGCTGAGCCGCTGCTTCCAGGTGTCACAGAAGAATGCATGCAGAACATCAGAGGAGACAGGCAGACGGGAAAACATCAACATGTAGCGACCTGTGACAGCGGCGACACGCCAAATGGTTTTAGGCACGCTCTTTGGACATTTTTGGGGTGAAAACTATGTTATTGCATGCGTTGTATGGGATTGTAGGTTGGATTTGTGGGGACAGAGGTGCAGGTTTGGGTCCTTCTTCAGGGCGAGGTTTTGAGCTGAGGTAACGTTCGACTCTGAAGGGCAAGAAGAGACAATGACATCAGCGTTTGAGAGATGAAGAGCGCTCAGCGGCGGAAGAGCGGTGGTGAGGGCGTCCTGAAAGATTGGAGCTGACGTTACTTTCCCTGCCTCCAGCCACAGCCAGCTCCTGCACACACATCCACAGCCCCAGAAGTAGCTTTGTCTTATTTGGCTTTAACTTGAGTGGTTTTATCTTATTGTTTTGAATCCAACAATACTAATCAATCCATTTTTGTATATTTAGAGAATGTCACTTAAAACTGAAACTAGTATGTGACTCATTACACGCACAGTGAGATATCAAGACTTTATTTGTTATCATTTTCTCACAGCTATAAAAACCCCCAATAAGATATTTAAAAATGCATTGTAAAAAAATAAATAAAAACTAATACATCAAATTAAAATGATCACAAACACAAATTTCAATAGCCCTTTGATAATTTGTGGTTAGAATATTATACCATTTCGAAACACAACAAAATGTGTCGGAGTTTGGCAATCACAAACCAGTCTATCAATTAATGATGACTGATCTTGTTTTAATACATATTTGTAGTGATACATATAGGAGGATCTTTGTTTACATCCGCGTGCACATGCGCCCCTCGCTGGGTGGCACAACGACAGAGCGGCACAAACTGAAGCATGGATGCGACGAGTAGTTTTAAAAGACTCAGTGGTCGAAATGCACGGTATATAAGCACTTTAACGCAAGAAGATCAGAGGAGACACAAAGACAAGCTAAATATAAGTATATGAGACCAAACTGAACCAATCCAAAGCCCATGAGACCTGGGATGACGAGAAGAAACATTGGTCAGACTCACCTCTGTCTTGGCACCAATCTGCTGGGACTGGGACTTGGAGACATTTATTCTTACTTCATAGAAAACCCAGGACCCTTCACTCAATAAGGGTCCGTGGTGAAAATCCCTTTCTCACTATTTTTCACCGCGGAAAAGTGGCCCGGCCTTTCGCCACACATTAAAAGCTGTTTGCCCTTTTTTGCTGTTACTCACGGTAAAGGTGGAACAGGAAGCCGAGGGGATGAGCAACCAAAATGCAATGTTTAAAATGAATCATCATTCATGAACAAATGAATGAACAAGTGTGCAGTGAAAGTAGTTGCAAAACTTAAATTTAAAAATTTAAGAGAAAAAAAACTTAATCCGTCCCAAGTACAACCGACCACACAACAAGAATGGACGATTTGATTTAGTAAATCCTCTCTCCAAACGTCTAAAAAAAGCTAACTCTCTAGCATCCAGGCAGCCTTCTATGCTGTAGTGCCACCCGGTCACGTGACCGGAGCAGAAAGACTATAAACAACAACGTCACTTCAAGATCCTCATATAGGCAGTTCTCCCGCCACGGCTTCCTTCTGTCACTGGATCTGTTCAATGTTTTCATTAACAGAATTTCTTGGTGCAGTGTTTTTTGGGGACCACAAGATTTAATTTCTGCTGTTTGCAGATGATGTCATCTATTGGCTCCAACGAACCAGGACCTGCAACATGCACTGGGGCGGTTTGCAGCCGAGTGTGAAGGGGCTGGGATGAGAATCAGCACCTCCAAACCTGAGGCCATGGTGCTCGAATGGAAAAAATGCCCTGCCCTCTCCATGTGGGTGGAGTGGTCCTTCCTCAAGTGGAGGAGTTCAAGTATCTCAAGTATATCTTGTTCACGAGTGGGGGAAGGATGGAGCGTGAGATTGACAGGCAGATCGGTGCAGTGATGCGGTCACAGAACTCTTGTGGTGAAGAAGGAGCTGAGTCGAAAGATAAAGTTCTTAGTTCTTAAAGATTTACCGGTTGATCTGTGTCCCCTCCCTCACCTCTGGTCATGAGCTTTAAGACCGAAAAGGACAAGATCGCGGATACAGTTGGTTGAAATGAGTTTCCTGCACAGAGTGGCCAGGTGTCTCTGGTCAGACTGCTGCCTGCGCCACAGCAACAGGTAAAGCAGAAGAAAATCAATGTATGCGCACATTTTTTTACAATATTTTGGGCGACAGTTGCTCAGTTGATAGGGCATTGACCTTTGAGCCTGAAGGTTGTGGGTTTGAGCCCACCCCAGGACCTTCTCCACCGACTCCCACTGATGTCTGCCGTCGTTGTGTCCTTGGCAAGACACTTCCCCCTCATTGCCTAGAATGAGTCTGGTGTGTGTGAATGGTTGGTGGTGGTCGGAGGGGCCGATGGCACATACTGTACCGGTTGCCTCGCTTCTGTCAGTGTGCCCCAGGGCAGCTGTGGCTGCAGTAGTAGTTTATCACCACAGTGTATGGAGTGAATGAAGCGTCTTTAAGTGTCCAAATAAGTGCTATATAAAACCGATGCATTCATTGTTATTATATTTTACTAAGAAAAATAATTCAGTTTCCAAATAAGTTTTTTAATGAACGGTTTTACTGCACATCGCAAATAAACTGAATGTGAATCTCTGAATCTTTAGGTCAGCACAATATTCAGAGCTAACCCCAGGCAGCCTTTAGAGTCACATAAAGCCTCCCACAGGAGACCAGCTCCTGCAGTATCTCAGCTACACTTCCATCCATGCGTGCGTGTGTGTACCGGCTCCACATGCGTCCACTTTTACAAGCTGATGTAAAACAACTCCTGCTGTTCACGACTTGTTCTCATTAATGAGTTTTATTTATATATTTTTTGTTGGTAGATTTTGAGGACAGGCCCGCCCTCATGCTCTGCTTTCAATCCTCTCAGAAGCTGCATAAGCGGCAGAGACACGGCCGTCTGTCTGGCAGTTTCAATGTATAAAAACATAAAAACACACTGTAAACCCTATCTTCAATTGTACAGTACTTCAGAAATCAAAGTTATTTTAAATAGATTTTTCCCAGTAAGTGAATATTACTCATTTATTGTTAGTCTATTCGAAGCTTGGCTACATCACTCAGGATTTTCTTTGAATTGAACTGTCTCTGTTCAAGTAAGCCTCACTTTTGACATTTTGAGGTGTAGAATCATTAAGCAGGTAGGTGAGTGGACAGCTGGGTTCGAATCCCAGTTGGAGCTTAAGTTGAAATAAAACTTTATTGCAAGCACATGAGTTTACTTGGGAATATCGAGTAAAGGATGTACTCGAAAAATTCAAGTGAAGTTAATATGCAATTTGTTTCCAAGGTTTTTTCAAGTAAACTTTACTTGTCAGGGTTTACGGTGCATAGAGGAGCCCTGCACCTGCTGTTATTATATATTTATTTGTTTTTTTGTTGTTGTTATGTTTGTCCTGTTTGGGATTGTACTTTGGGTTTTTGTTGTGTGTTGTAATTGTGTTCTTGTTGAGTGATGTTGTGTCGTCTGTTTTCTTGTCTTTAATAAAATAAATAAAAAAGTCACAATATGTTGCAACATTATTTTCAATTCGATACAAGATATAGTTTGGAGCGCACCAAAGAGCCAGGGCAACATTTTCCGTCATATTGATTGACTAAAACTCTTATTCTGTCTTAAATGTTTATTGTGAACTTAGTGCAGTATAGTAATAATTTAAGAAATGTTATGTTGATTTTAAATTTCTTCTTAAGCAGGCCTTATTCTATTTTCACTTCATAACTTTGCACTGAGAGACAAAGCAATTTCTTATTGACTTCCTGTTAGTCACAATGACAACAACAGAGATTTATTTGAATGTCAGTAAAACCTGGGTCTATATTTGTGATAATATGCAACTCTTTCCCTCTGCCCTTCGGTCGCTTAACCGATCCCTGATGTGAAATGTCCCTGTTGTTGTTTATGTATGTTTGTTTTTGTGTGTCTTTGTGTGTTTTTGTATGTAGCACAGTTGTAGCTGAGCATTCCTGCTGCACCAGAAACAAATTTGTTGTGTGGTCATTAATAAATTATTCTGATTCTGATTCTGAATAGCAAGGAGCAAAATTTGGCCTCAGGATGGGGACTGATTTTCAGGGCTTTTGTATTTCAGTGACATATCGAAAGAAAATACAACCACAAACTGCTGTTTGGAAATATACAAAACAAGTTGAACCTGAAGCACTTTTTCATTGTATTTTTTATTTTTCTATTATTTTGGAACAAACGTAGAAACCCCCACAAACTCACAAGCGTACAAACTGAAGGTCCAGGGCAGAAACCACAACCATATTTGCTATTTACTGTGAAATCCTGAAGCCAAAATTACTTCCTTAGACTTTTGCAGAGCACCGGTCAATTGTTACCTGTTGCTAGTTCAGACGGGGCCATTCTGTGTACAGTTTGCATGTTCTCCCTGTGTCTGTGTGGCTTCCTTCCAGGTACTCCGGTTTTCCCTAAACCAGTGTTTTTCAACCTTTTTTGAGCCAAGGCACACTTTTTTCATTGAAAAAATCTCACAGCACACCTCCAGGAGAAAATGTAAAAATATATACTATACATACTCTATGTGAGATCAATAAAGTATATCTTATCTTATAATATATATACTCTGTAGCCTATATTCACAATATACAGTTATTGTCATCAAAGTGCTTGAGTCCAGGCCTTGACATTAAGCTTTATTTCGGGAGTTTTGGATGAGGGACACGGGAGGTCCTGAACACGAGTCCATGGTTCTGTCCGGTCCGCATGTCTATGGTTCTGTCCACGCGACTATGGTCTGCGCTCGGTACCCAGTTCGGATGTGTTCGCGTGAGCTGTTTTACAAAAATTGTACATTTCATACTTAAACCACTGCAGCGCGGCCACAGCTGCCCCCGGGGCAGAGCGGAGGATGTGAATCATGTTCAGAAATGGCATAATTCTTTTCCCAGCAAAGCAATACGAAGCAAAGTAAGTGAAGCAATAAGATTCTGGTGGCGGCACGCACTTTTCTCAAACGCTCTCCGCCGCTGCAGCGTCTGACGGAACGTGATGCGAGCGCTCACGTTCCCAGCGCTCAAAGATAACTCTGCTGCAGCGTCTGGTTGATTGTGATGCGAGCGCTCACGTCCCGGCGCTCAAAGACAACCCTGCTGCAGCGTCCGGTTGATCGTGATGCGAGCGCTCACGTTCCCAGCGCTCAAAGACAACCCTGCTGCAGCGTCCGGTTGATCGTGATGCGAGCGCTCACGTTCCCAGCGCTCAAAGATAACTCTGCTGCAGCGTCTGGTTGATCGTGATGCGAGCGCTCACGTTCCCAGCGCTCAAAGATAACTCTGCTGCAGCGTCCGGTTGATCGTGATGCGAGCGCTCACGTTCCCAGCGCTCAAAGATGCCCAGCGGACGCAGCCCGGCTGAGCGACCGTGCGAGAAGCCTCGCACTCATGCTCTCAGGCCTGCGCAGTGCGTCCTGCTATCCCATTGCAGGCCCACTTTTTGGGGGATTATGCGCGCGATCAAGCGCCGCGCTCAACAGCATCTCTCCCGGGCCTAGGGCGCCAAACATGCTTAATCCTAAACTTCTAACTGCATTTTCCTCATGGGTCTCTCCAAGGTGAAATGGAGCTTTCGCGAAAGTTCACTGTGGTAGACCCGGCTGCTGCTGCCCAGACCTACAAGCCTGCTCATCCTCGACTCATCATACCAGCAACGCCCACATCTAATCAACCAATAATCACCAGGACAGCAAGTTAAAAGCCGGAGATGCCCACCTCCCAGCCATCTGAAGTCTGCAAGCCTCCGCCGCCCCACCTCCTTCTTCTCTCATCGAAGCGTGCTTGCCTACTGCCTCTGCCGTCACCAGTGCCTAGGCCCCGGGGGGGATTATGCGCGCGATCAAGCGCCGCGCTCAACAGCATCCCTCCCGGGCCTAGGGCGCCAAACATGCTTAATCCTAAACTTCTAACTGCATTTTCCCTCATGGGTCTCTCCAAGGTGAACTGTTTAGCTGTGCACACAAATAAAAGATTTCATATTTGTATCTTTCTTTTTAATGCCTTGTGGGGTTGTTTCTTTCTTGTTTTGTTCTGCACTTTGAGTTGCCTTGTGTGTGAATTGTGCCATACAAATTGCCTTGCCGAGTGAACGTTCCTTTTGGCCACAGAACTTTGTCACTTTGCTTCACTAACGAGTCTTAGAAGGAGATCAGTGTCCAGGCCTTTCAGGTCAATATCTCACTTCTTGAATTTAAACCAAAAGGCAAACATTTGAAAGGAAGGTCAAGACTTTTCTATTGCAAGTTTCTGAAATAGCCTCTTTTGCAGGGTTAGGTTATGGTGTATTTTACATGTGTAGTCTAGGTTTTGTCGTCATTATTGGATATATTTTTATTACGACTGCAAAAGTAGTAGCTCTCTGCCTCTTTGTTTGTAGAAAAGTAGCTCTCTGATAGAAAAAGGTTGGAGACCCCTGCTCTATTGTCTGGTTCCACTGACAGCTCCATGTGTCTGTCCTCAGTGCACAGACCTCTGCAGCAGACTCTTTATGAGGACAACATGACGCACCTGAAGTCTGTGAAACAAACTATTCCATAAAAGTGTGGTGTGATGTTGGCCGCGAGCAACAGGATGGGAAGTGTTGAAAGAGATGTTTGATCCTCCGAAGGAAAGAAGACCATTAAAAAGGTCAGCACAAGCTAATGTAATTAGCTCGATGTTCCCACACAAATATGGCCGTCATGCACGATGCCAGAACGCTGAGTTCTTCTGCTTTCGGCTGCAATCAAGGAACACACGTCCGGACAGGCACACTCGCCCACCCTTTCAATCATGTATCATGTGTTGGATGTATTTGGATTAGAAAAATGACCAAGTGAAGGTATTTGGTTCTTCTATACCCGACAATTGTAAGACAGTGATGGTATTACCTTTCTAAAAAGACAAGATGAACCTTTCTAAACTAAAGATCAAATGCTGTGGAGATAAAGAGAACATTTGAAGATACGGGACATTTATTAACATTTATAGACATCGGTCCATCCGGCTCCCTGTGGACCAATGGCTCCTGTGTGCTTGTTATTATTGCATTTCTGTGTTCGAACTGAAATACATTGAATGAATTGCATATATAATCTGTTTCTGAAATTTGTCAACTAAAGTGTTAGCTCGGGTTTTGTGGCTATCAGTTATTCATTCTTGGACTTCTCCATAAGCCTAAGAGTTCTGACAGAACGAGAGCGGACAGTGAAGTGGGCGGGACCATTGAAGTCTGTTGCGCTTTAGGATCCCAGCTGATTGGCTGCGGAGGAGTGGTTTCACACTGGAGCATAGGACATGCAACAATAAGTACAAATGCAAGAATGAAAAGATATTCTCTTGATAAACTCTTGTGACATGTAGAGCGAGAGAATTGTTGGATCCAAAACAGAGGATTTCAAAATCAGTCAAATTAAGACGCATGAAGGATCAGCTCAAACAAATGTGGAACCAGTTTTTTGTGGTTAATTCTGATTATTTGTGATTTGTGTTCTGAAATACCAGTTATACAAGTTTTACACAATATTAGTTCCCAATTTTTTGTCTAAAGTTTAAATGCTTATGGTACCTTGTTTTTTCCATATTTTTTTAATCTCTTTCTAAACAATGCAGCACTTTCCCTTAATAATGTGTAACCATACTTATTTTTTACAACAGATTTATGAGCATTTACAGACATTGGTCATCCTCCTACCTTTTGGACTTGTGTGTCTTATTATTGCCATTTCTATGTTCAACAGCAGATTTTTTAACCTGCTGTTGCTGGATCCAAAACAGAGGAACTGACTATTTCCCTGTGACTGTAAATTTTCATCAGTTATGTGATGATAACGTTTGTAGATTAGTGCACCCCTGAAGTCGTTCTTGACACATGCTCTGCACATGTTAACAAAAGTAGGAAAGGACAAGTAAAGATAACAAAGTTTATCACATTTCTAAATCGGTCAAATGAAGACAAATGAAGGATTAGCCCAAACAGATCCATTCTGATAATCTGGCACTTCCTGCTCTGTGGGCTCTGGCTGAAGGATATTCCCCTGACTGACAATTACACATAATTACAGCGTCTGAGTGAAAGCGTTATTTAACAAGCTGTGTCCTAAATTACCTATAATTGACACGGCCATTTTATAAAATCATTGACAAAGTTCGACGACTCGTTGCTTTTCCAGATGTGTGAGGGTGAGAGCCTTGACCCACGCCTTGTGATTTATGACTCCAGAGAAAATCAAGCAAAAACATGGCTTTTGTTTGAATATGTCCGCAAGAAAACAGCTGATGCTATCTCCGCACAGAACCACGCCAAGCCAATCACTGCCGCTCTATTGATGCATGTATTCTCAACAAATAGTCAAATCGCTTCAGAGGGAGTCATTCATTTGAAAGTTTATCAAGCCAAAACTCAGTGGAGAAAATATTGATTCAATATGCTTAGGTGGATCACATTCCAGTGTTCTACCCGCTCCAGTGACTTGAAAGAAGATGGATCCAAGCCCAAGCCCAGGCCTTTGTGGCACCGACAATTCATTAACTGAACTACAAAAAGACCACCAGGGAGCAAGCTCACATCCCAAAACTTTGGAATGAACCCCAGGATATTGTACGAAATACATAACAGTGTGGATAAGCAAGACTTCCTTATTAAAAGAGCTAAAACTGTCATTTCTTATGGTAAATGAAACTCTTCCAATTTTCAACATTGAATATGTATTTATGTATTATTATATGTGTGGCTAAAACTTGAATGTATCTGAGGGAAAAATCTGGCCATAAACCTGGAAATCTAACACCAACCAACCAGGCAAGAAGAAGTTTACGTGTCTTTAACCCTTTAATTGTTTCCTCAACCATTTGGTAGATCACCTTTTGAGTCAATATATCTATTTGGAACTGAAATATACCTCTTCGGGGCATCTCACTTGGTTTTAGGCACTTTTACCATCAAACTGCATCTGAACCATTTGGTAAAGTCTTATAATTGAAAGGAAATAGGGGCTAAAAGAAAAACTTAGTCCTTCTATGTTGGAAAATCTAAAAAGGAAAAAAATGCATTGCTTTCTTCAGGGATTGAATCTTAAAGGGCAAAGGAAGAAAGTGCTGGATTTAATTGATAAAGTTAGGGAAGAGTAAGCCACTTTTCCCACATTACTTTGGGTTTAAATGATGAAGTCAATGAGGTGCACAAATGTAGATGTTCTAATTATATGTCATCAAATTAATCCAACACTTGAATTCTTGTGCACAACAGTAAAAGGGAAAAACACATGTGATCTATTCCCTTGTTTTATTACGTGTTCCGTGTCATTTGAGTAGTAGTAGTAAGAAAAAAAGGGTGCATCTGCAAAGTATTACCCTGTTAATTTAACACACACACAATAGTTCTTTGGTTGGTTTGATCAGTTTCTATTACAAACAAAAATATCAGCATCAAAATCCCTGAATTCAACTTTTTTTCCCCACTTTTTTTGTAACCTCACACATGTTTTTCTCACTGCCATGCCTTAAAAGCAAAGTAAATTGAGAGGTACAAATGTAACATGACATTTTGTTGATTCTATTCTTTAAAAAAAGAGTTGAAAATTGTAATAATTCAATCTCTTATTTGGAGATTACATCTCTGGAACTGCTTTGTTCAAATATAGGTTCAAGTGCTAGAGTTTAAGTTTTGTAAACATATTTGTTAGACTCATTTGTAAAGTATTTCATGTTTTATATTAACAAAAAATACTTTTTGGTGTCATCACGTGTCTGAAGAACACATTGCTTTGGAGTCTGCCGCCCTCTACTGGCCAAAGTACAAACAGTACTGTAAAAACACATTATGAACAATTATACGAAAGTGTTTGCAAATCCAAAAGAAATTCAACACTTCGCAGGCTTTTTTTAACTGTGCATGAATTGTGTGCAACTTTTTTTGTTTTCACTAAATTGTGGTTAATGGAATTATATTTCTGATTTGTGTTCTGAAATGCTATATCAGTTTTTTACGTTTTTAGTTGCTAATTTGGGATTTGATCACATTTCACCAAGAATTATCCATTGTACATTGGGCAAAATATTAATTTAATGTAAAACATAAATTATGATTTTACACATAGGAATAATAAAACATTGGTGTTAGAATTCCCGATGTAAGAAAAAAATCTCTTTTTTATCAACCTATTTAATTGCTTATGGTACTTTGTAAAGCTTCACTTAACCTGTTTTTGCGTGGTTTCTATATTTTCAGCACTTTCCCTTCTTTACATAAAACTATCATTAATTTTTACAACAGCTTTATGAGCATTTACGGACATTGGTCATCCTCCTACCTTTCTGTACACGACCCGACTTGTGTGTATTATTATTGCATTTGCTCTGTTCAAACCATCTGATTCTCTGACCTGCTGTTGGCGAATTGACAATTTTACAAAGTCCTCTGAGCCGACTGCTGTTGTGAATTAGGAATATACAAAAATAAATGGAATTGAATGGAACAGATACAGACATAATCCCACCAGTAAAGTCAAAAATGAGAAACCCCCCCCCTTTCCATCCATTCCTCCTTGAGTTTTGCAGTCATTACGAGCGCTGGGCGTGGTGGGGGTCACATCATGGGAGTTCTTGGCACAGAGTCTTGCTGGTGTCCCGGATACCAGTGTCCGAAATTGTTCATGTAGGCTCCGGAGTGCACGGGCGCCGCTTTGGAGGCCATGCTGATGTCCCACAAGGAGCAGGGGGAGGTGGAGGAGACGGGTGGAGGGGCCAGGTGCTCGCCCTCCACTCCACACGGGCCGTTCTTCATGATCTTCTTGTACTTGGAGCGCTTATTTTGGAACCATATTTTCACCTGCAAGGAAAATCAATCAATCAATCAATGTCCAGGTGAGAATATTGTGTGGTTTCAAGAGTTCTCAAGTTAGAATGTGGAAGACTTAAAGCTGGTGTACCTGACTTTAATAGACATGCAATTAACATTTATGGACATTGATCATCCGCCCCTTATGGGCCAATGGCTCTATATGTTTTTATCATTGCATTTCTTGTGTTTGAACGGTTTGATTCTCTGATCTGTGTTGGCAGAATTGACAGCTTGGTACCGTTCTCAGAGATAACTACTGCTGTGATTTAGGGCTATACACAAAGACATTGAATTGAATTGAATTGAAAGTCCATGTAACTAGTTATTTGTTCTCAAAACTGTTTGGTTCCGTCTATGGTTTTCACATACATATACACAGTATTTGGCCCCTCGTGGAGGAAAATATCAGCTTTAAAATGAGGTATAACTTGTCATGGGCGCCCATATTACCCATTCCAGGGGCCACAAAGAGGATCTGGTGGAATGAATTTGGTCTAGTGTTACCGTATCCTAGCAACCTACTCACAACAAACACCTAAGGACCAGTCCGGCCTGGTTAGAACCATAGACTTAGGAGTGGACTGTCCGAGGGCTGACGTCACCCACAGAGTCAGTCTAAAGCGGGAGAGGCTGATTGGAAGACCAGCCTTAGTTCCAGCTCATAGTTAGAAATAAATTGCACATTAACTTCACTTGAATTCCTCGAGCTAATTCTTTACTTGATGTTGCTAAGTGAACTTAATTAATTGCAATAAAGTTTGACTGTGATTTCAACTCATACATATATCAGAAAGGCCCTGCTCTGACTAGGATTCAAACTCAGAAACTTTCAGTTGAGAAGCGAAGGTGCTACCCACTTGGCCATCGTGCCGCCCTGCTCTGGAAATACCTAACATTTTAAACACTGTACATGTTCAAAATATCAAAAGTGCAGCTTACTTGAACAGAGACAGCTCAATTCAAAGAAGGCCCTGAGAGATATAGCCAAGCTTTAAATAAACTAACAATATACCAGTAATGTTTACTTACTGGGAAAAATCCATGTAAAATAATTGTGATATCTGAAGTAAGATTGAAGTTAGGGTTTACAGTGGGTTGCTAAGATGGTTGCTAAGGCAAGCTTGAATTTCCCCCGCAAATGAGGGCGTCTGATTGGTCAATCCTTATGGCTCATATCTGGATTTACAAAGTGAATATCAAAATCATAGAGACCACAAAACCATTTTTTTAAAGACCAAAATGGTGAGTCTGACACAAACAGTTACTGAAGCCAGAGAGAAACTTAGTCAATGAGCGCTTAATTGAGCTAGGGGTTTAGCATTAGCCATCTTTATACAGTCTATGGTTAGATCCAAGGCCAAGCAGGGACTAAATAACAACCTGGTACCGAAAAAGGGCCCTTATATCATGACTGATTTGTGGAGATTTATGTTCATATAAGAATGCATGTATTTTATGGAAATTTAAAAAACAAGCAAAATGGGGGAAAACAAAGATGGCAAGAGATATATTGAAGCTTCCTAAAATTATACATACAAGTAGGGAAACTTTTGTTGGATCAAGCACTGGCTTTACTGTATAGATTAAGCTATACTGTCTAAAATGAACCCAGAACGTCTAAAAATAGATATTACGATACAGTGTTTGTTGAGCCAACACACGGCCCCAGTATTTAATCAACAAGGAGCTTCTCTGATGCACACGATAAAAGTTGGCGTGAGCGTTGCTTTAATAGCTGGGGTTGCAAATTGAGCATCAAATTTCATGTAAATACTTGTCAGGCAACTGTCATCTCTGTGGGAACACCACTACATCATAAATAATTGCAAACACAGGGCAATGGCGCAAAAACACAAACGCATTTGAAAATTCTGCCAAGCTGTAAAAGTACTAAGAAAAGCACTTTTATGGAAGATAATTTTGTGTTCATTAACTTATATGATGATCATTACTTTCACCCACATAGTCAGAAGTAGCTTTTAACTTGGATCTCTATTGTTCTGTTCAATGCAATGACATCAATCACAGGCCATTAGAAAGTAGAAAACAAAAGAGAAACAGCAGAGTCTTGGCAAATGTATCCACAAAACCCCAATCCCACCCGGTGACCACTGCCCCAGATAGAGTATGTGGCGTGTATCTTATGGCGGAGAGTCCATCAACAGCCCGTTAAGCTAATGCACCCGCAGCCAGAGGATTTCAACAGTAATTATTGGGTTCGTATTACAAGTGCAGCGTGGGGCCTGACACTTTTCCCTGAGACCTCGGTTAATGACAGCGGCATTAGAGGAGAGGCGAACCAGGTGCTGCTCGCGATATGGACATTTTAACGTAAATATTGTGCTCAGGCTACAGACTGGAGACGACATGTGTCAAAATCCACATGATGTTTTTGTAATGTCTATTTCCTATCGCCGTGCAGGCCAAGTTACAGGTCAGATCTGAGGAAAAGGCGCCTCTGCTCGGAGTAAGAACGCATGCTTATCGCCTCTTTGCTTTGTAGCATTAAAAACATCCCACATTGAGGTACGTTATATAGCGAATTAATGAAAAAAAAGTGCAATATGTCGGTGCAATATATAAGTGCAATATGGATCAGAGCAATACAGAACGGTGCCACATCTACGCTATAACTCTGAACATTGTAAAGCGCTTTGGGCGACCTTAGTCTGTAAAAATGCGCTATATAGATAAAACTTACTTACATAAATCCATGCAATATCAGGACATATAGACAAGTGCAATATGTATGGGTTAATCTTGTAAACTGCACAGAGCTGTTTTATACCATAGTCGCACAATTATGACATATTATTTTTTTTAAAATCAATAATAATTTTGTTTACTAAACTTGCACATATAAATGGGAGAAGGTTCTACTTTATTCAAATTGTCAACGTATAGACTCAAGTCCTAAGTAAAAAACCGAGCAAGAAATACTTCAAAATCTTGTAAATATACATATTCAATCATGATCAAGAGGGGCAGGATTCCATATTCTGAGTGTATTCTTTGTCAATATTTGTAATTTATTGACTCTGCAAGTTCAATATCTAGCATGTGTTCGAACAGATGCTTAAATAAATAAAGAATAATAAATAAACATTCATACACAGTGACCAAAATTAACCACAACAGAAAAAGCAAAGTACAAAGTTAAGTGAACCCATTCCTTTTACACAATAATGAATTCAATATAATCTGCTTTGCCTTCTAATAAAAACCCTTCCTTTTTAACTATTGAGTTGAAAAGAAAAGATTCATTTTACATTTTTCATTAAAATTGCTGTTATTAAAAGTAATTGGCGGTTTGTCTTCTGGCGCAGTGGAGAGCGCCAGTTTCTTGTGGCAAAGTTGAGTTATGTTTTTCCCGCTGCTGTCTCATACTGCATTTGAAAATGATCGGGTCGGTGTTGTTGTCTTTCTCGTCCAGAGTCTGTAAATGTCCGAACGTTAGAGGGAAGCCAACGTTTCCAAAAAAAACACGTTCACTGCTGTGTCATTTCTTAGACAATAATCAGATGCATTTACTGCACATACGTCACTTTGGACATTTTGAATACTCCACTTATTAAATATTTCTTTTATTATAGTATTTAGGTGACTCACAATTCATGATAAGCACATTTATATTTCCTTTATTTAAGAAACATTCAGTTCATTGTTTTGTAATTTTAATTTGTCTCATGAATGTGTAAATTCTTGTGTTCACCCTGTTACTCAGTTGTTGTCCCACTTTGTGCGTCTACTTTCTGTTTCCTGATGCGTTCACTAATGTATGTTTGTCTCTTCACCCTTCCTGGATGACAATATCTTTTTACATTATGTCAATTCACTTTCATCAAATTCTGTGTCCACGGCGTTTGTGGACACAGAACATGGAGGTCGTGTTCCTCAGCTGCAGTGTCCAGACACAGACTGATCCACACATGGAGCTTTCGCGAAGGTTCACTGTGGTAGACCCGGCTGCTGCTGCCCAGGCCACAGGCTGCTCTTCCTCGGCTCATCAGACCAGCAACGCCCACATCCAGTCAACCAATAACCACCAGGACAGCAAGTTAAAAGCCGGAGATGCCCACCTCCCGGCCTTCTGAAGTCTGCAAGCCTCCGCCGCCCCACCTCCTCCTTCTCTCATCGAAGCGTGCTTGCCTACTGCCTCTGCCGTCACCAGTGCCTAGGCCCCGGGGGGGATTATGCACGCGAGCAAGCGCCGTGCTCAACAGCATCTCTCCCGGGCCTAGGGCGCCAAACATGCTTAATCAATAAACATGCTTAAATCTAATAAGTCTAACGGCATTTTCCTCATGGGTCTCTCCAAGGTGAAATGTTTATGTTTCACCACCAAAGCACGTTCTGGTTACTATGGTAACGTGTTAGTACGTGTTAGTATTTTTACAGGATTATTGTATTAACAGTCAAGTATTAGTACACTATTACTATATTTACAGTCGAGTATTAGTACAGTATTACTATATTTACAATAGAGTATACTATAGTATTAGAAGAATGTTAGTACAATACTAGTATCAGTATAGTACTGTAGTATCAGTAGAATGTTAGTACAATATTAGTATCAGTAAAGTACTGTAGTATCAGTAGAATGTTAGTACAATAATAGTATCAGTATAGTACTGTAGTATCAGTAGAATGTAAGTACAATACTTGTATCAGTATAGTACTGTAGTATCAGTAGAATGTTAGTACAATATTAGTATCAGTATAGTACTGTAGTATCAGTAGAATGTTAGTACAATACTAGTATCAGTATATTACTGTAGTATCAGTAGAATGTAAGTACAATACTAGTATCAGTATAGTACTGTAGTATCAGTAGAATGTAAGTAGAATATTAGTATCAGTATAGTACTGTAGTATCAGTAGAATGTTAGTACAATACTAGTATCAGTATAGTACTGTAGTATCAGTAGAATGTAAGTACAATACTAGTATCAGTATAGTACTGTAGTATCAGTAGAATGTAAGTACAATATTAGTATCAGTATAGTACTGTAGTATCAGTAGAATGTTAGTACAATACTAGTATCAGTATAGTACTGTAGTATCAGTAGAATGTAAGTACAATACTAGTATCACTATAGTACTGTAGTATCAGTATAATGTAAGTACAATACTAGTATCAGTATAGTACTGTAGTATCAGTAGAATGTAAGTACAATACTAGTATCAGTATAGTACTGTAGTATCAGTAGAATGTTAGTACAATACAAGTATCAGTATAAATACTGTAGTATCAGTAGAATGTAAGTACAATACTAGTATCAGTATAGTACTGTAGTATCAGTAGAATTTAAGTACAATACTAGTATCACTATAGTACTGTAGTATCAGTAGAATGTTAGTACAATACTAGTATCAGTATAGTACTGTAGTATCAGTAGAATGTTAGTACAATACAAGTATCAGTATAAATACTGTAGTATCAGTAGAATGTAAGTACAATACTAGTATCAGTATAGTACTGTAGTATCAGTAGAATGTAAGTACAATACTAGTATCACTATAGTACTGTAGTATCAGTAGAATGTAAGTACAATACTAGTATCAGTATAGTACTGTAGTATCAGTAGAATGTTAGTACAATACAAGTATCAGTATAAATACTGTAGTATCAGTAGAATGTAAGTACAATACTAGTATCAGTATAGTACTGTAGTATCAGTAGAATGTAAGTACAATACTAGTATCACTATAGTACTGTAGTATCAGTAGAATGTTAGTACAATACTAGTATCAGTATAGTACTGTAGTATCAGTAGAATGTTAGTACAATACTAGTATCAGTATAGTACTGTAGTATCAGTAGAATGTAAGTACAATACTAGTATCAGTATAGTACTGTAGTATCAGTAGAATGTTTGTACAATACTAGTATCAGTATAGTACTGTAGTATCAGTAGAATGTTAGTACAATATTAGTATCAGTATAGTACTGTAGTATCAGTAGAATGTGAACAAAAGGCATGATATTCAGATGATGATGGTTCTGTGGTTCATCACATTGTTACACACACAGTGAGACGCATCAAGACTGTTACATGTTCATACTGCATAGTTGGCTCACAAATGAAAAAAACAAATATCTCAGGAAAATAGAATATTTGGAAAATAGAATATTTGGAAAATAGAATATTTGGAAAATAGAATATTTGGAAAATAGGCTGTAGCTCTGATCAACATAAATATAAACAAAGGCATTTGTCACTTTGCATGAAATGAGTTTTTATCATACATTGAGCTCACATTTGAAGTTTCATTACATAAAGGAATTCACTTTTGAACGACATTGTAATTAAACAATTTTCTAATAATAATCAGGGCGATTCTCTTTCACTTCCTGAGTTTTCGTGCATCAATCAGTGGTGCAAGTACGAGGGAGACATGAGCACGTATTTTGTGCCACATTTTATAATTATGATTTAGTAATAAATGTTATAGTATATGCAAATAAAAAAACTAATTAGTTGTATATTGAAGTATAAAGAAAGATTTTTGGATGCAAATATATACTTATATTTAAGTAAAAATAAAATAAAATAAAATAATTCCTATCTAATTTACAAAAATAGGAACAAAAGGCACCAAATATTCACACTTTTTTTTTGTCTTTTCTGTCGAGCCAGCATGTTTTTGCAGAAGTCAGGACCCACAGTTTTGAAGACATAATGACAATAATTGGTACAACTTTTTCAAAAATGAGTTTTGTGCTGCCGCTTGAAAACAGCGGCGTCCTGAAGTGAAGCCAGGGATTTGAACGGTTAATGACGGATATGAAGTAAAAGTTACACATTGGTTTTGTCTGTTTGTTTGAAGTGTGGTGCGTTCTTTAAGCCTCAAAAGTCCCAGTGGAAGCAGACGGGATCTCCCAGTTTGCACAGATTAGCGATGGTTATTCCAGCATGATGCCAAACTTCTATAGCATTTACTTACACACACCTAACAACAAAAAACTAGAAGACTCACAAGACACACATCAAAGAGAATGCATGCGTTTGGAAACTGAGGCAAGTTTATACAGTGTCAGCGGTAATTACCAACACCGTGGTTTGGATTGTATGAATAAAAGTCATTCTTGTTACTTATTGTTCATCCAATTATTTACCTTTTAAATCCTCAAAAAAATGAGAGGGGTGTGAGATAATACAGATAATAATACTGAGATTCAAAAATACAAAAAGAGGTTTTCACCAAGAAAATGTAACGTCCAAAATCCTCAACTTCACTGCAAAACAGTTATTGAGGTTTTTTATTCAGGTAAAATCAAAACATTTGACGCTTGATATTATTGCACTTCTGTTGTAAAATATAATATATACATTGTATACTTAATACAATATGAACTTTGAAGTAAATGAGAAATAAAACAAATGTAATAGGAAATATACCACTTAAAGGAAATTCTAAAATTGTCCGATTATTTTAATGAATACATTGTGAGGTGACATCACAACAAGGACAGAGCTGGACTCATTTGTAATAAGTTTATGAGATAGAATCCAGAGTAACCTTTACATGTCCGCACCACATTACGTCTTTAACTACAGCGACGCCGGCCGCCAAACGGTGAGAGAAGACGCTAAGAATGTGACCACGCCTGTTTGGGTTCTCGCTTATTACGCCTCGTGTGTGACCTTTATTACATCAGGCTGTAAATCCATCAGTTGCTCATAATCATAGACATACCAACCAAAATTCAAATCATTCCTCATCCTCAAGATTACTTTTTCTGTTAATTGTATCACTAAAAGAGGCTCACATTCAAAAGGGGAATTGATGGGCATAGCGGCTGAGTGGTTAGCTCCCTCTCCTTTGATTTGGAGCCTGATTGGCACAGGGCATTTCTGAGTGGACTTGCATGTTCTGCCTGTGTCTATCGCTTTATTTGGCCGTACTGTACTCCACTCGCCATTACTCAATCTGATTGGGGGAAGAGTAGTCCCAATAGTCTTGGTTCTAACCAGTCGGTGGTAAAAAGTCATGAAAAATACATTAAAAACTTCTAATGATGTGGTCTGTAAAAGCTAACAAGTGTTGATTGATTCATTATAATTGCAGAAGGATTTCTGTTATCCAGTTTGACATTATTGTAAAACCACACATTGCCACAGGGTTTTTGGGTTTATTCTTATAAAAGTCCCTGAAGTGTACTCTAATACTCACCTGACATGGTAACTTATTCACTAAATATTCAAATAAGCTGTGATTCATATCAGTTCATGTTGAGTAGATATGGACTGAGATAAGCAGGTGTGGATAAAACACAACGTCGAGAATGGTGACAGAATTGAACAACATTAGATTGGTGTGTGTCTGATTTTAATATCAAGTAATTTACCTGTGTCCCTCATCAACTGCATGTGCAGCAAAGTGAGCGAAGCACAAATACAAAGACGTCTCTTATTACTGAAAGTATGTATTTCTAAATAGACTCACTAAGAGCTAGAAGTAAAAAAGGCTTTTGATTTTTTTAAAGGCTTTTAAAAAAATAACTTTTTTATTTGTGGAAAGTTTTGACCATGATTTCTAGTCAACTGCATTCAACAGAGAGGGCAGAGAACTCACCAGACACAGTGTCACATAGTGTCTGTGATCAAAAGGTTGAGGAGCTCAGTGATATGTAAAGAGCTCAGAGTAGAGCTGTTGCTCCTCCATGTTGAGAGGAACCCCTGATGTTGAGCATCAAGATGCCTGATTGGGTTGTACCATTGACATTGACTTATTCATGCCAGACCAATATTATAGAATCAGTTCAGAGTCCTGTATTGCCCTCTGTGTCCCTCTGCTGTGTGGTACCTGTGTTTGTGTCAGGCCCAGTTTGGCCGCCAGGTCGGCCCGCTCAGGCAAAGCCAGGTACTGGGTCTGCTGGAAGCGCTGGTTGAGGGCCTGCAGCTGCAGACTGGAATAGATGGTACGTGGTTTCCGGATCTTCTTGCCCTTTCCGTTGAGCCGCACCTCTCCGTTTTCGATCACTGCTGTGGGCTTCTCATGTTCTAAAGGGCCAGTGAAAAAGACACACTGGTTACAATGACGATCCAAAACATAATTTGAAATGATTGGCACAGAAAAAGAAAAAACAAAAACCAATATCTGACTTGGGAACAATGATCATTTGAATCTTTAAAGATTTACCATCGAATCATAAACTCATCTTTCATGCAAACTATTTTTGAAATCTGAGAAATCTGAATTTCTGACTTGACTCAAGTAAAACCTGACATGTTTTGTTTGTTCAATAATATGTAATGTGTTATGAAGGCAACTGATTCAAAACAGTTGTTTATATAAAATAACATTTTTAAATGTATATTTCCATCAAAATGCTCTTTAGAATGGTCGCTCTTAACAATTCCATTTTTGTCATATTCTGAATACATGTGTTGCATGAAGCTGAAGCACTTTCTTTCACATTGAACTGAGAAAGTAAAGGTCTTTCTGATGCGTCACTGCTGCTGCACAATCTGCTGGATCTATGTGATTTTTTATTATCTGTTAGTTGGAAGAGAAAATTGTTTTAATAATTCTACAATTGTTCACTTTTTACTTTAAATCTGACATTTCTGTTGCTGTGGTCAATACTTGATTTACCTTGAGCAGTACTTCAAATAATGACCACGTCGAGCATGCATTTTTCTCAAGAACGTTAAAGTCATCAGGCTATTATGGCTATAATTATTATGTTTTTAATTAATTTATAATTATGTTTTTGTTGTTATCATAATCACAGGCCTAATATTATTATTAGGCCTGTGATTATGTTTAACCTAATGATTATAGCCAAATCACCAAATTATTGGTGCATTGGAAATAATGCTGTTTATATACCAGAGTCCTCGAGCCTCGCGTGTGCCAGTCCCCCGCTGTGCGCGGCGGCCTGGTACGGGAGATACGCGGCGTGGTGTCCGTATGGAGAGTATCCTAACGGGCGTCCGTACGATGCCCCTGAGGGGAAGGGGCCCTCATGCTGCGAGGCTCCCATCGTATGAAGACTGTGCACGGGGTAATGTGTGTGAGACAGGCCGGGAGAGGGCTGCTGGTGAGCGTGTCCGTGAGCGGGGTAACTGTGGCCCCCAAATTCTAAGAAGGCGGACTTGGACGGGTCCGAAAGCGTGTCCGGCAAAGAGCTCATCGTCATGGTCAGGCCCGGGGCACAGAACAGAGAGACCGCTAACTCAACCCGCAGGCGTCCTCACGCAGCAAATAGCGAGGAATCATCTCCCAGAACACGGAGAACATGTCAGAGCCTGAAGCCGCTGATGCGCAGGGCAAAAACCTCAGATCCTCTTCTGCACAAAATGTCCCGGGCGAGGCTTGGAGCGTGTTCCCGATCCCGCACAGACGCAGAGTCTGTAAGAAAGGAGACTCACGAACTGCGCGCTTCTCTCTGACTGGAGTCCTCGGTGTGTGTCTTTGTGTGCGCGTGTGTATGTGTCTGTGTGGCCCTGCATCAGTGTGTGCGCGTATATTTGCCTGTCGCACCGCGCGCTCATTGGCTGCTGCGGAACCAATCACAGCACGAGCCTCACAGCAGCACGAGGCTCCGGAACGGACCGGCACCACGACCGACATGGTGACCAGCAGCACCATGATCAACAACATGACCAGCAGCATCATGCTCAGCACATCAACATCATGACAAGAATCATGACCACGGACCTGAAGAGAATTCCCGCTCCCGAGTGCATGTGTGTTATTGTGTGTTTCTATTAGCTCTACACCACAACAGTGGTCACCTCAGGGGACTTAACAAAACCGTGTTGTGTGTCTGACTGTGATGTGAAAAGCAACATAATACACAACAAATATTTAATTTTATATTGCACGCAAATAAACACACACACACTCACACCCACTCAAAGTGTGGCGTGCAAAAATATTCAGCCCCCTCCACTTATAGTGGAACCCTTCTGCTCTCACAAATCGTATCCAAAGGGGACACGGGAAATAATCATGCTGTTCTAGAGCCTATTACATCTAAACTTGAATATCTCACGCTGCAGCAGCTCACAGCAGCACATAACTGAACTGAACTGTAGGTTTGTTTAATGAGGAACTGCAGAATTCCACGGAAACAGAAAGTCAAAACCACTGCGCGAACATGCGTGGGATATTATGTGAACAACTTTTATAAATAAAGGCCCACCGTAAGAAGCGCATGATGTTTTCCGTTCTTAACTCAGGGTCACGGATTGAAATAGTGGAAATGCACCTCTTGGTGGAGGTCTGAGTATCACGAGCGCTTTAATATATTTGTTTTTAAACCGGTGAAGATAACAAACTGCCTCTTGGGCACACACGCACACAGGCACACACAGGCACACACGGACACACACAGCTCCTGCGAGAGATTCATCTATATACTTATCTTACCCTCTTACACAATCCTCAGGAAAGGCCTGGACCCCCAGTTTGAGAACGGGACCAAATCAAACGATTTAATTGTATACTTTGTTCACACGCAGGAGGTTGCAGTTCTGGGCTAAAACAGATCAGACAAAACGCTAAAAAATAAAAAAAAAAACAAATTGGCCTATACACTTCGTTAAAATAATGACTCTAGATTTACTCTATAGACTGCAGCACAGCCTCACAGGAAGAGCAACAGTGGCAGCAGTTATACGGTTGAAAAGGCCTCAAACATAGGAAGCCAAGCTCAGAGGTGTAAATCATTTGAATTAGTGAGGAACAAATTCCCGCACACACACACTGACTATGAGGATGTTCTTGTATCTAATTGCCACAATAATAACATCAATTGGGCACGACAATAGTAAGTATGCAGCCACTTCACTGAATTGAAATACATGAAGTGTTTTATGATATATAGGCGGAGAAAGGACTGGAGACTTTTGGCATGTGCCTCCTCGCCTCGTGCCTGGATCCCGCTCATTATACAGTAATCCCTTATTACGCGTCCAGGCGGCACCGCGGCTTTCATACGCGGCCAACATTCCTCCCCTCCTTTCACCTCCGTGCGCGCTCGGCAACACCCTCCATCAGCGCGGCCTTACTGCAGGTGAGAGCTGGGTCCCGTCAGAGCTACACTTTATTTCGACATAACTGTGCTCCAAATAATGCTCCAATAATAATGCTTTAAACATGTGACAGGATCTTGCTGCAAAGCTGGGATACTAAACTTTCAAAAACAATAAATGAAAATAAAAGTATAAAATATCAAGTGACAAAAGCATGTGATGGTTCTCGGCACACATATCGTCCGCTAGTGACTCACAGGGCTTTTTTTCTGTGCTTGCAATTTGTTTACAAATGAGACAAGACGGCATGGGCAAAGGGAGTTCATTTTTCTATATATCACAGTTCATTCACAGGGTAAAATAATTACCGTATAATAAGAGTGAGGATATGCATACTCTTATAGTCTGTTGTATGTACAGCTAAATATAACTGTTTTTAACCTGGATTTGAACATTGTCAGGATAAACACCTGTCTCACATTTTCAGGAAGACTGTTCCAAATTTTAGAAGCAAGTCTGAAACGCTACCTCAGATTTGTAAATATGTTCAGTTGACTTTACTTTTGCAAGGCTCTTTCTTTCAAACCATCTTCTACATGGATTGAAACAGTTTAAGCCGTATTATTTATTTATTAACCAATCAGAAAATGCAGTCTCCTGTCTGAACGTGCAAGACCATACCATATGTTAATTGGATTTTGTTACTACTAAGATCTTTAAACTCTGCGGCCTTTATAGTGATGCGGCTGATGTATGTTTTTCAATTGTGGGAGAGTGAAGGAAAGAATTTGGAACAGCTCTATCATATGTGGCTTAAAGCTGCACTAACTGACTTTGAGAAACTTTCGAATCAGAACGCTGAGCTCGCTCTCTCTGCGCCCTCCCCGCACGGAGCTTTCGCCCTCCACTTCCCTCCTCCCCCTCAGCCTCTGCTCATGCTAACTGAATAGGGAGCTCACGTCTCACAATATGGACACATTTAAACGTGGATGGCGTGACCACAGAATGATTGAACCGGGAAGCGCGGAGGATCAATACTTTCTTTTGGATGGATGTTTCGCTGTGTAAGCAGTAACCGGTAACGAAGACACGGGAAGTTTCCGGTTAGCCTCCGCCGCTTCTTTACCTCAGCTGTCTGTGCTGACGAGAGATCTGTGGCTTTTCTCAAGAAAGTGGGGGCCTGTGGTCTGCTGTGATAGGTCACAATCAGGACCCGAAACACATTCTCTTCCTTGTTTCACCAAAACTCGATCTAAAATTAAATTACACGCCAGCACAAATCTGCGCTACTTTTTCTTCAAAAGGACGTATTTCCCAATGCATTGCATGGATATGGATTGAATTTTTGTAATGAATAGCTTTAAGTTTATGTGAACCACAGAAAGTTGACAAAAGGAGAAATACAAACACCAAAAATGAAACATGAGTGACTTTGTATGTGATTAGGGCTGTTAACAGAGCAGAGTTTATAGACTTATTATTTGGACTCCAACATGTTTTAGTCATCGTCAGTTGTCTGTCTGCGTTGTTCTGCTCCATCAGCTGTTGGTTACGTAGGTGACTTATTTAACGTGAATTTTCACTGTTAATCAATTCGTTTTTTAAATCCAAAAATTGCATTGGAAAAGTTTGCTTAACATGCAAACATATTGGGCAATTTTCTGATTGTGTCAGCACCAACTTGTTGTCATGGGGATGTTATTTCTTAGTTTGGACTGCTTGATTGTGCAGCTTGATAGAAGACCTATATATGTATTCTTATTTTAGTCACAGATGATTGGGCTGTTACATCTACTTTATAGTGTATGGACAATAAAAGTAGATCTATTGAAGTAATGTACAGTAATTGGTCTCTCCACTCCTGGCTCACTAACCTATGCTCTTGGACTTGCACAGTTAACTTCTGACAAATACTATTGTAGAAACTTGTTATCCATGTTCATCTGTCTGTTTCAAACACAAATACCCACTGCCTGTTCCCATGATCTAATGCACTGGGGCCGATGACATGACCAGACCCACAGAGCATATTTCATTACTGAACTTCCTGACTGCTTCCACCTGTTCTGTGCAGACCTTTGGAACATTTCAAAGACAATGCCAAAAGAAGAAAATAACACCTTGCACTTCAGCCTTGCACCATCAAATATACACAAGAACATAGTCAGGACTTGTGGACTTTGGGATAATACGATCGCAAGGCAAAGAGTCTTAGTTTTATCAGTATTATAATGCAGAACACAGAAACCCTCTTATCAAAAAGCTATCCCTTAGGAGATTATATTTCTAATGAGTGTCGTCCAGTTTCCCCCACCATTCAAAACATGCATGGTACATCTACATGTAGAATAAGATTAAGATTAAGAGAACAATAACTCTATACTAAAAAAATGAAATAAAAATTTCTAACTCTGCCTATATCAACAGCAATACTATTTTCCCCCTTATTGATCAGCCAACCAGAATTACCACAGACACGTCATGGCTTTCCAAGGGCTTTTACAAGCCTTAGCTCCCTATGGCTTGTAAAAGAAAGCAACAACTTTACAGAGCACATTTAAAGCAAAGGACTGAACAAACAGAAGAAAGGTATAAAATGTATGAAAATAATAAGATTTAATAAAATAGTATCACAATTTGCTGGAGCAGAACAAGTGTGATATCCAAGGTACCTGGAAGGTATTGAATGGCATTCTAAGGAATTGAGAAAAAAAAAAGGGAAGAATATCCAAATTACTTCACAGTAAATAATTCACTTATCAGTGAAAAAAAGATATTGTGAATGCATTTAATAGTTTCTTTGTCAGTGTTGGGCCAAAGTTAGCCAGTGAAATTGTGAAACCAAACAATGTGAATGAATTTGAAGAAAAATATATACAAATAATCCAAATTCACTTTTGATTAAAAGTGTCAGTGACATCAATTCCAGTAATGCTAAGAGATCAACAGATGATCTAACATAGACATTCTAATCTTTCTGAGTAGAATGAAAACTTAAACTTAAAACTTAAATTATACGTATTTTTAAAAACAGAGAAAGGCAACAGTTAACAAATTATAGACCAATTTCCATTTTCTTGCAGTTTTCAAAAATACTGGAAAACCTATTAATCAAACGACTTGACTGCTTTGTAGCCAAGTATAACCTGTTGAGCGAACATCAGTACGGTTTCAGATCCAAGAGAAGAAGAAGAAGAAAAAGAAGAAGGTCCTTTATTTGTCCCACAATGGGGAAATTTCAGTCCATCTCAATGTCTGTCATGGAACTAGTGGAAAACATATCAACATCTATTGAGAACAGTGGGCCTCATTCACGAACGGTTCTTAGGAACAGATTTGTACGTAAATCCTACTTACGCGGTTTTTACGAAGAAAGTGGCATTCACGAATATTTCTCGTAACCAGAATTTCTCTTGGGCAAGTACAAATCCTACGAGTCCTCAGGAGCACTCGTACGCATTCAGTGCCGACATGTTCACACGCCGGGGTTGTCCTCTTTGGTGAAGTTGAATAAAAATACAACATTCTAGTGATATGTCCGTCATATCGATGTATGTATTTATTTATTTGTAGTAATCTTTATTAGTAATCTTT